AAATAGAAACAAATGGAAACAAATGGAAGCCACATGACAAATCATGCAGGATCCTTACAAAGCAGAATATTGCCTATCACATGACATGCTTACTAACACATCTTGGTGGCTCACTGGTGGCTGAATAAACCACATAAAAGAAAAGAAAAGAAAAGGGGAAAGGTGAAAACTATCATACTGGAAATATAAATACAAGTAAATCTGTCAAAATGGAACCAATCATAATAATACAATGAGGTACACCTTAGTGTACTCTCTGTAGCTACTTCCTGTCTATCAATGTCATGGTATGAGTTTCATACCATGCATGACAGCGGATTCGCCAAGGTTACCCCTAAGGGTGTGATTCCACTACCCGGTGAACCGAACCCCTACTTCATTGCTGCAAGGGGAGAAGAATACTTTTTTGTTCCTTTTGTCTCGACCTTGAAAAGTTGGGCTAGCGCAACCACTACTACGACGTATAAGCTGTAAGATATAGTCCTACCTTATGGTTCACTGGTACTAAATAAGTCATTCGCAGAGACATTGTTTTCCTCCTCAATGGGATGGGTAGTATGCAAGCGGTGATACGGCTGGCGACTGTAGTAGCTATTACGCTCAAAAAACAACACATTGTCCTGATCGCTCCTTCCAAGATAATATGGTCATCACTGCATCTTTCGAAGTACCCGTACGTATCATTATACTCCCATTAATATCACCAATCGTTTGTATATGCATCTGCTTCCCAAAATGAACGTACATCCAATGTACAGTCTCCTGCGGAGCCATAAACCAAAGCATGGTCACAGCCCATCTGATCGTCTGCCGCTGTCCTGCATGATTTGGGAATCATGCATGGACATGACTACTAGGTATCCCCCTAAAAAGACAAAGTCTGTTAGCTTAGTCCTCAGACTAGTCAACCCATACCTTGGTATCAAACCTTGGTCCAATAGTTTCAGTTTTCCCTCAGTGATTCATGAATCCACCATGTTTTGAAGAAAAGTCATATGTGAGATGGGAATCACATAATGACCTAGTTGATATGAGAAGCAAAATGAAGGTTAAGGTATTGCCTTTCCTTTGGCTTATTCACTTTGGCTAGAGAAACCCATAGAGAAAAGTTCAAAGCCTAACAAAAACCTATCTAAAAAGCCCGCGTATTGTGTACTATTATTTGTTCCATTATTTCTGAGTTGTTTTCTCTAGTGTTTCTTTACTTTACTTTTCTATTAGGATGCTCTGACTAATCAGATGCTTCATAAAATTGTACCTACAGGGTATGATGTTATAATGATGTCATAGGACTTCACCTACACTCCTGCAGGTATTTTGGTTGAAAGATATGATATCATAGTGATGTCATAATGATGTCATGTTCCATGGAATTTGCTAGAACATTCCAATGACTCATAATGACTCATAGTGACTCATAGTGACTCAGAATGATGTCATTATCCCACCATGAATATTCTGGAATGTTCTTTTGCACCTGCTAGAACATTCTGCTCCAGTTTTTGGAATATTCTTCTCACATTCTGAAGTCATTACATCACCTTTTTACTTACATAATATTCCCACACAAAATGTATATAAGGAGAGCCCATTCTCCCCCAAAAAAAGATCTCCCACTTGTTGCATTCAAGAACTCCCACTTGAGCAAATTGAACTCTCACCTAAGAAGCTTCAGTCTGAACAAATTGCTGCTTACAAAGCCCATTTCCTTTGTAAGAACTGTCCAGGCAAGTGCAGGGAAAGTGTTTCCCTTGAGATTACGTAAGTTTCTCGCGATAGAAACCCAGTTTTGTGAGACCAGTGTTCTCACCACGTAGTGTTTACTGACCAACACGAGCTTTGGTCACCGTTGTTATTTGTGAGACCAGCGTTCTCACCAGGTATTTGTATACTGACCAACACGAGCTTTGGTCATTGTTGTTATTTGTCATTGTTTTTTATTTGTCATTGTTGTTATTTGTGAGACCAGCGTTCTCACCAGGTATTTGTATATTGACCAACACGAGCTTTGGTCCACGTAGTCACATTTGAGACCAGCTTCTCAACAGTTAACCGTATATTTAGGAAACCAGTTCAAGTGTCTAGACAGTATATCCTAGACAATCCCATAGTTTCAATCAGAGATAATAACAGCTCCGGCTAAGTTAATCTGACTGATTGGTTTAGCAAGCCTCCCAAGAACTCACACGTTATCTACCACTGAAAGAAGAAAAGTTCGTAGACGGTGTTAATCGAGGACTGGCAAGAAGTCTTATCCAGTGTAATTGTGGTGTCATTACATTCTTACACGTATTTATATAAGACCCTTGGTTATTAAGACACCGCCTCTTGCAGCTCATGCATGTATCCACATCCCTCTTCTCCACTAAGCTCTAACAGCATCCCTCCTCCGCGATGCACTCACTCGTCATTCTCCCGATGCCAGCCTCTTGTGATGATTGTCCTGGGCGTATTCAGTGCTACAAAAAAGCTGTTAGTCGTTTGTTGCTTTCCAGGTGATTCCCACGTGATAGACCACAGTGAACTCTTCACGATCTGATTCACCCATATCTCTCTGAAAGACGAGACCCGCGCGGCATACTGAACATATTATCTAGTATCTGCAACATTGTTTCTGTCATAAAACGTAGATGATTGTGATTATGAGTTACTTACCTCCGGATGCATAAGATCCACGTTGAGAATACCTTTCCCACCCTGCGCTACTATTTTGCTATATGAATGAGCACGTTCAATATCCAGAACTCGAGATCAACGGATATGATAGACTTGTATGTGAACAAAATATCCGGCTTTCCATTCTTCTGCGAAATCCTGCAAGCCTGATGCGAATGTTGCAATTAGACTAAGAGAATACATAAGGGATATGCTACCTGCGAGAAATAGCCCCTTGCTGAAGATGGATACCTGGTGAGTGGCCATACTGTCCATTCCAGGACAGTATCGAATGCAGTCGAATAAGCAGGCATTAATTCGTGGAGGTCAAGTTCTTTGATATTCATCATGGTTGAACTCGCTGGTGTTTTTCAAGGGACAACAAGCTTGAGCTATGACGGGAGGGATGGTGTTATCAGTAAGTGTGTGGTTACATGGCAGCATCAAGTGTTACCCTTCAGATCTTTATCCTGAGATACATGTGAACTTCACTGATGGCTGACCCTGCAATTACTGCAGTGGGAGTCGTCGAAAACATGCCAATTGAATTGACATTGTCCGTGTCAGGATACATAAGGATCAGGCGCCATTCATCCGAGAAAAAGTTTGCGCTACCAAATAGTTGCTCAAACATATCTGAGCTCTCATTCAGCAAGACAGACAAGATGGTACTGAGCAAAAGACTTACACGATGTTGGATTCAGTGTTGCACATCTGTACAGGGTCTCTCCTTCGTAAGTACGACTCGGTAGCCTCACACGCGCTCTGGCCGCTTAGCAAGGCAGGAAAAACGCTATTGGCGATGAGTATCAGAAGATGTAGAAGTATCATAACTGAATTCAGGCAAGTTTGAGGAGGCAAGGAGCCACTCACAGAATTTGATCATGCCAAAGGCAAATTTATCCGGCTTCTATGGAAGGACTGGACAGGGGAAAGCATGGAGCAAGATGCAGGAGAAAGTGCAACCACCGCAAGACTCTAAAATTGAATGTGTTAGTGCATAGAATCAATATCGAAGAATTGGGTAACTAAGGACCCTGTGTACTGAGACCCACACTGGTAAACCAAGGGCCGTACTTACATCTGACAGAAGCATGAACTTTACGATCACATATCATTCACGTAATTGATACAGGGATGGGGACGGGAAGTAAACCTAGGGGGTAGTGGCCATACATTAGGAGGTCGATGTTGTCGTTATGGTGCATATGACGAGCATTAAAATGAACATCAAACATCGAAAGATATAGAGCGCAATTTGGAAGCAGCCACATAACCAGCTGCTTCCATGCTCTCCAGACTCAGTGGAGAGCTGTCCTGTGTGTAGCAGTTGAATCAGAATTCAGCGTTGGACGAGAAGGAAGGTAGTGCTCACCACGTAACCAGCCCCCATCAATTTTGGAAGTAACCCACTGCAGTGTTGCGCTACAGATAAATGTATTAAACCCGGAATACGGTAGGAAAAAGTCGACCAAACGCACTTCTCTACCATGCGTGAGAGGAACATTGACAATGCAAGCCTGCACGAATGGATCATAGGTGGCATGTGCGGGCTTTGAAGGTAGTAGCAGATGATTAGGCAGGTGGGCGGTCGAGACTGAAAAGATGTAAGTTGAGAATGTGAAGACGGCGGTCAACACTTACGTTCTCGTGGGGATGCATATCTGGCGCCTAATTATAAGTCACAGTATGCACTGAGGGAGAGCTCGAGGTAGGGATAATGTAGCAGGGAATTGCAAAGGAACTGTTAAGTTGATATAAAAAGAAACCATGATGGGTACATCAACGTACATCCAGGGGATCACAAGACTGATCGTTCCAAACAGGAGCATCTGTGTTTGTGTAAGAGTAGGAGGGAATGAGTCTGCGAATGTGACATAGAAGAAGGCAGGGCTGGGCAAATTTGTCCAGCTAATTCACTGTGATTCAAAAGTTGATCGACGTTAACAACCTCAAGGCACTCAAAAACTGAATGCATCAGTGATTACATAATCTCAATCTGCAAGCTCCCGGAGTATATAGTCTATGAAGGAGTCAGGGAACCCATGTGTGCTCCCGGATCGGCGACATCAGGGTCTCTAGTTGTGCTACAGTAGAGTTTAGTTTTCTATTCTATTCGAAGGAGCTTTTCATCCCTAGCATCAGCAATCGACTGAACATGCCACATAAAGTGAGGAACCATTAAATCTGAGGGGAGTAATCATACTCTTCGATTGTATATTCCGAAACTCCACTCCAATATCCACAACAGTATGATTGCCGGCTTGTACGGCGGAAAAAGATGCAGCCCGCAAAGAGAGGTGTATCCCCCGCAGATACTTTGGTTTCTCTTGGGGAGCAGCCACCAGGCGATAGCCACAGAGGTGGGGATAGCGGAGTACCATCAAGGCTGCTTCACGACATAGTCTTGAGACCAATCCGAGGGCGATGAGCTCAAAGGGGCAGAGATAACGCGCAATCTCTCGCCAAAGCTCAAGAGGCAGTGTTGGACAGATGGTGCTGAGTGGCACGTCAGCTCTCTGAGTGAGCGATTTCTCCGCTTTATTAATATTGATGTACTGTGCATAATGGCAAACCTCCACAGCACGCTTGAAGAGTGCAGGGTCAATGTGATAGCCAAGGCGGGCGAGAGCAGTGATGCCTGGCGTAGAAGGTGAATGTGCAAAGAATGATAGTAAGAATTGGAGGGCACTCGTGTGGCTGAATGTTGTTGCGCGTGCGTCTTTGACAACTTTGACGATTGCGCAATGGAAGACAGAAAACGCGATTCCAAAGTAATGACCAGGATTATCCTTCTGCTCCACGATCGCATTGATCAAGCGTGACACAGAAGCCTGTAAGCATCGTTCATCATATAGATGTGTTGTAATGCAGACAACAGTGTCTTCGCGAACCCACGTGAACTCCTTTCTTTGCGGCTCTGGATGGCAAACGTGCCAAATGTCGTCGAACATCTGAGGAACGAACGCAATGCTGGCCATGAAGCATGCAATTGACCATTGATCGTCCGTGATCTGATTGTGGTCCTTTAAAAGCTCTATTTCATAAATTTCCTTGCCAATGGTTGAGCTAACCATGCACTGTCCAATCATGACCTCTAGCAATGTAACTCGAACATGCTCGTCTTCAGACAGGATGTCACTTTTGGCGAGCAAATCGCTCAAAGCCACATGAGATCCAGTGCACATCAAAGACTGGTACGTCATGAGGTCAGAATTGTCCACAACCGGCGGTGGGGGCGTCTTGTACTTGTGTTCAGGGGGGCATCTCAATGCGCAAGCTGTGTGGCCGTAATGATCTTCGGAGATATGATCTTCAGCGGCTTCATCTTCGGACATGTGATCATTGGTGATGTATTGGATAAAAGTGTTATCATCTGGAAGGCATTCCAAGGAGAAGAAAGGCATGTCGTCCACGTGGAAGATATTACGATCAAGATCGATCTCATAGTTCCAGTAGTAAGTTCCTGGCTGCTTCTGGGAGGGGGGCTCCAAGTCGAAATCATCACCATTTTCTATCACTAATAGAGAATGCGAAGGGCTCTTCAACCCGTCCAGAATTTCTCCAAACATTTTTCGATAGGTCGCGATGGCATTGGGCTGTCGTATGAGTTGAAGCACCTTTAAGCCAAGCCATTCTGGATAACCATCAGAACCGCGGTGTGATTTGAAATACATATTCCGATAGCGGACCACGTAGTACCCATTAGTACCCATGCCTGCAGGTAAATCAAAAGAGACTTGAATGATGGTCTCAAGCGTCAACTTATGTTGATGGTCAGTGTATGGGAAAAAAAAATTGATTGGCTTATGATGAACGATTTTAAGTCAAGTCATTATGTAAGTATGAGTTTCGGCCGCTGAGTCCAAAGGTGATGTGTGGTCCATAGTGTGGACTTGCGATTGACCGGCAGTCAAAGTACCAGGTAACCAAGGTCAAATTTTTGACTAGTTTTGATTTTTTTTGGTGTGGTACAACAATAAGCTATTAAATATTATATCATTAGAACAGGACAAAGGCGACTTTCAGCTCCAGATACTCAAACACCATAGAAGAAACGCCAGTAACCTGGAAGTAGATGGCTGAGCGCATACCACAGCTGTATGAGTCCATTGTCAGCTTCACCTCAGTGTGCTCCAAAGCAATATTTCGACTCACGCTATAAAATTTGCAGGACTGCTTGTCAGCGCCCACCATGTTGTACATCACAAATCAGGTCCCCACATATGTGCCGTAAACTACAAATGCGGCGGTAGAGAGCGCATCTAGCTTCCAGACATGGCTCAAGACAAATGACCAGAGGGGAATGCCGACCATCATTGAAAAGCGCGCGGCTTTAGGGAAGATTGTGGGCAGCATGCACCTGCCAGTGAGGCGATCGCCCTCTTCATCCTTGAAGTCTTGCGCATGAAGTGTAGTCGCAAAGACTGCCGAGCTAAGTGCGACCACCAAAGCACCGACCTTGTCCATGCGTGAGTTGCAAGAACCTGTGCGCTTGATCAGCAAAATGATAGATTGTCTGCAACTGGATAGATTTACCGGCAGCAATGGTTCCTCCGACTTCCAGACACCCACCGAGGATGGCTGTGAGTACATTCTTCGACAATCCCATTTTATCACCGTGAAGTTCATTGTACCAGATCGTGAACACTGCAAAAATGGTGCTGGCTAGCAGAGCCTGAGCACCGTACCACAACAATAGCATCAAGCAGACTGGGACCAACACCCAGCGTATATCAGCTGCACTGTCGACAGAAATGCGACCAGCAGGTATCGGACGGGAGGGTTTGTTCTTGCGGTCCTCCTCCGGATCTTGGATCTGGTTTGCAATATCGAACTGCAATAAGTGGAACCATATCCACAAAGGAGCATGCCAAGCATGTGTGGGGTCATATTTGGGAGCCGCAGATAATGCGAATATTGTCTGAAAAGTGTAATTGAACAAGGGAGCAAGACGCGGAATAGTTGTCACATACGACAGGTATCAGAGTGGTTCTGATATCATTTTGTGTAAAAAGGAAGACCATCTCGAGATGATGAGCAATGCTATCAGCACGAACAGTGAGAGCTTGAGAGAACATAGTGAGTTTTTTTGGATGCATAGGTTGTGCGACGGATCCATGCCTTTATACCTCAAAAGTGTGCTTGAAAGAAGCGCAAACCGGTAAAGCAAAAGTCATCCCGGGAGTGTACCAGGAACTCGAAGAGTACTTCCAAAAGTCACGGGATTTTGGGACACCAAACCGAGTCAAGGCTGTGAAATCTAAACTTCTTTTGGTAGGGAAAATATGCGATGCCGACTTGAAAGAGTTCTATACAGTAAGCAAACCCGATGTTGCGGCTATGCATTCATGAGAAGTGGCGCTCTTAACTCTCGGAATACCCCTGAGCCATCACAGCCCAGAGTTGACAAGGATTCGAGAAAATCATCTTATATGGGCAACACATGCTACCCGGTAGATAAGCGAAAGATTAGAGCGCTCGCTGAGTAGCATCTGGCCCGCGATGTACCCACATTGCTATCATGTGGCTATAATTGGTCAACGATTGGTGACATCATATTGTAGATCGCACTCACTATCCGGAGAAGGTCGCCCATACTCTGCGGAGCTTGAATAATCACCACACTCAAAGACTGCAGATATTGAGGACTGATGCAGTTGTACAACGGGAAGTCATCGCTTAAGCAGGCGCTCGAGAAGGTCATGAGCGTCACGATGCACAATTCCATGAGTCATTGATGCTACGAAATGACACTCGGCTTGAGATAGGCACCCCGCGATGTAATTACGGCCATGCTTTCCACGATAACACCGAATCTCGACGGAAGCTTGCAGTCAGCATGGCACTGACTTCTGAGTCCGACGGGACGCCAAATTACGGCTCGAGTTCCGTGCGATCTTACAGCGCTGGTTTGAATGGACACGTTCCACTGATGAATAATTACAGAAAAGAATGACAGTGTACTGGAAATGGCTCCCGGCCACCTCATGGTGAGATTTTCATAGTACTGTGAATCTCTACCTCCAAGTCAAAGGTCGACTTGATTCGCCAACGTCGACAAGGATCAGCGCAATTACAACGTATTTTGTTGCACTATGTTATTAATAAAAGCTGAATTATGGCAGATGACTTATAAGAGGATGCGCACCACAAAATACTCTTGTCTGTGAGGAAACAATCCAGTATAGGTTGTCGCCCAAGGTTTCCTATCATAGCTAGCCCACAGTCAAAGTAGCCGTGACAAACGGTATCGGAGTCTTAGTAGGACTTGGTGATCAACCTGTCTACGAGGCGACATACACAATCGCGACGGATTGATCTCCAGTCCAGTCAAACGATGAAGGGAGGTGTACCACGGGGGATTACAAAAGTTAACTGTGGGACTCGGAGGCCCTTGAACTCGGACCACTAGTACCATGGTCTATTTTTCCCACGCAATTTTGCAGGCAAGGTCGAACAACCAACGTTCACAGTCTACCACTGGCCCCCAACATAAGAACTTTCACTCAACAATAAGGGAGCGCGGCTGTCTGGCTTTCCATAATAACCCGGGTTAATAACAACACTGCAACAAATTGGAACCAAATTGCACTGCTTGCCGGTGGGCACACCAACGCAGCGTTGCGACGTCATAGAGAGCGTCGGGAACGTTGTCTATGGCATCGCAATATCTCCAAATGGTCGCATCCTCGCAAGCGCCGCATCCTTCGACCACACTGCAGTACAATTGTGGAAGCTTGAGAGCGGCCAGGCCATCATTCCCTTCCACCATGCGGATGCAATGAACTTGACGTCCTTTTCGTCAGATGGAAAGCTACTAGCCTCTAGCTGCGATGACGAAAATGCATACACATGGAATTTTTCTGCGATATTACAAGACGCTGGCTTCGACGACCTTCTTTTAGACCAGCACGACAAGTCGGTACTGGCCGTCGTTCATCAACAGTTCTCATTGCACTCAAGCTTATGCATTCTAGGCTGATACTACACCACCTGTCCATCAGCCAATCAAGGTCTCCCCTCGGGTACCCCGTGGTTTTTCGACGACTCACCAAATCGTGCTCGTCTAAGTAGTTAGCATCTCATCCCGTGTTTTCCTGATCTAGTTTTCTGCACGACCCGATGCTCACGATACGTCATCCCGATCCCGCATCTTTCACTGGGCTCGAAATCTGCTCTCTGTGGGAAGTGGCTCCAGGATTGAGTTGCGCAAGCATCGTTCAGTTGATGTCCCGCATGCCAAGGGCAAACATGTACGTCATTTTCTTCCCTCTTAGAAGTTCGAAGCTCATTTCGTGCCACACAGTGGGACGCTTGCGCAATAGAAAAGCGGAGGCCAATTCCGAAAAACGCTACTGCAAGTGCCTCATGACCTGATACCACCCAGCAATCCAGCAGCGCGGCTCAGTCATCTCCACAACCATATGCTGCCATCTCCACGTCTTCCACCACACCACCAGCCGCCGTTACTCTCGAAGCTACAACTTCCAACACCAATCCTCATGTTTGATCAAACACGCTGGACTTTATGTGTTGTACCTCCCGTGAGTATCCTGATGGTCATCACTAATCTAATTTTCCCTTCCTTTATGAAGATCTCACCTGAAATGCCACAAAGTTCGTCTCATCCCTCGAGTTACCTATATTTGATGGAGACTCTATTGTATATACCTCAGCGAGCACCAGACTCCTCGAAGACGCCTTTCGCGTGAGTGATCATCAGGAAGGTCGTTATTGACGTCATTGCTATCACTACAACGTACACAACAGGTAAGTATTTATGATATTGGCTATCTCGAACAACATTAGACTAGGTTATGTATGATACATTAATTACGAACTCACTGCTCGACTGACTTGTATCTCAGCTGTATCGCTGCGTCGCAGGTGAAATACGATTCAAGTTGATCATCGTGTACGTATGCACATAAGTACTGCTGTGCCAATACACAATTTCAACTTCGCGCTGATGCAGTACACATCTTCACCTGTCCAATGAGGAATGGTTAGTGAGTGCCTACTAGTCTTGTTAATGAATGGCCTTTTGTTACTCGTCTGATCGCTTGTCAATAGCAATTCACTTTCGGGCCACGCGAGGATCATACGTGTTTCCGTCTCTCACGGTATGGTAATGTACATGGCGCTACAACACTTCCAAAGTGGTGTGTGCAGTATATATATAGATGGAGAGTAATTGAAACTCCATTACGGCGCATACTAATAGCCTATCAGCAGGTGACATTTCTGTATGACGACACTTTCAACTACCTCACTCAATTCTACTTCAATCGTGGTCGTTCAACGTTGCAACCTCGTATCAGAGGGAGAAGTATATCTATCTCGAGAATTTCGTGTTCAAGCGACTAGAAATGTACACGAGTTCTGTCAAATTAGTGCCGACTTCTGTGGAGTGCCGATTGCGCCGGAAGGACTATATACTAGCCTTCTGTCAGGTTCGCCTTTCTAAACGCAACGCCTCAGGCAGCATAGGGCCTAGCACTCACCGCCTCTTACTCGTCGTGAGTTCATACAAAAGGCAGGCAAACGTCCCATCATTTCCCTTATTTTTATCCCTCCTCCTCCTTCGGCTCCAGTTTTTCAGGAAAAATGGCTCTCGACTCTCATGGCGTCCTTGCAGCAGTGACCATCGCAATGTATGTTCCTTTCCTGTTAATTTCCATCAAGATAGTGTCCAAGTACGGCATGGCCCGAGGTGATGGGTGGATCTTGCTGTTGGTATTCTGCATCAGTAAGTCGTTTGACTTGTTGAAGATATAATTTTAACCCTGTTATACCTTCAGTCCGAGTATTGGGTGGTGCTTTGCTTGTTGCAGCTGAGGAAGTCACTCCCGTGAACACTTCGTTATACATCGGCGGTTACGCTTTAGAAGCATCTGGCCTGTCCCCACTGTTGCTTTGCACGCTGGGTCTGTTGCACTCAATGTACGTTCATCATGTTACCATTTTGGATGGAATGCACTGAACACTATTATAGATTCCAAACTCCTGAAGGCCTCCCGAGATATCAGAGAATATTCCGCCTTCTTCAACTCCTCGGCACGATTGCTCTCATCCTTGTCATCGTCGGTATCTCCGATGAGACAAGTTCTAGCTCTAGCTCAAACTCGAGTGGGAACACCATGCGCAGGGCCGGTGTCATTCTCTTTGCCGTCTTATACATTATCCTTGTCGGTATCTGCATCCATCTATGGACCAAAGCCAGATTTGTCTTGAGATACCGCAAGCAGGTGAGCTTTCCGGAGCATTGTCATCTATCCGACCAATGTTCTTATGCCTTATTATATTCAGCTCTTGGTGGCCATCTCCATCGCACTTCCCTTCCTTGCCGTTCGGACTATCTACAGCATCCTTTCCACGTTCTCTTCGAGCTCGTTTTCGATAACCTCAACCTCATCCACCCGAGCCAACACTGGCGACCTCGCAAAATTCAACATCTTCACTGGCGAATGGCAGATCTACCTCGTAATGGAGATGCTCATGGAGTATGCCATTGTGATCATCTATTCTATTGCAGCTATCATGCTGCCCCTCAACGAAGATTACAAGTCTCCGGATTTGTCTCAAGACGACTCAGAGTATCCTTTGAGTGATAATCCTCGGTATTGAGCGTCAAAGCGCCAGTGAATGAGAGTCATGTCGTGTCCGGTTACGAACCGGTAAGTCGGTTTAATGAATCTAATGATACCATCCTCATGGCGCATATTTTCACAAGGTCACCTACCCCTCGTTAATTATAGATTTTTAAAATAATGAAATGGTAATTTATATTCTGACCGAGATCACATACACGTCGATCTCAATTATGGATGCCCTAAGAGTAGGGATACTGAAAACACATACCGAAACCCTTCATGACATCAGTACTTAATGGCATCAGGCTGCCGAGACTGAGTTCCGATACGTCGCGCATCGTGTCCTAATAAAACATATGACACAGTAAATAACTATGACTAGACATCTATCATTCATCTGCAGGACTTCACATGAGGTCCCGAAAGTATGCGATTGACAAACAATATTATGCCTCCATTGTATGAACTTGAGGGGTGGGATAACATAACATATCGTAGTAAAAATTGAAGATGGCCATCGGCATACTCAGGAGAGGTGCAGCAGATAAAGAGCAAGAAACGAGCCCAGCGACCAGCATGTTTAATCGTTGCATGAGAATTAGTGCTTGAAGTTGCATAAGAAACGACGGGAGGTGCGGTGGAGGTGGAGACGGCAGCATGCAGTTGCGAAGACTTAGACGACCGAGTTTGAGCTGCGCCGCTGGATTGTTGCGTGACGGTGCTATTGGGATGGCGTGAGCTTCCTGCAGTAGCGTGTGTCCCGGTTGGCCTCCATCTCTCTCTTGCTGAAGCATTTCTCTGCATGATACAATATAAAGTTCGAAGGCGAAAGTGATATCAGGAGGAGTTGAACATCCGAGAAGGATAAAGTGACGTACGCGTTTGGCCTGGCAAAGCGGGACGTCAACCACTGCTGGGGGACGTTTGTGCAGCTCGATATTTATACCACTTGGCTTGCCAGAAAGAATATTTCGAACCCAGTGGAAAGGGCGAGGTCGGGATGGCGTATCGTGTGCATTGGGGTTTATGGGGCGGAATAACAATAAGAAACAGCTACGAATGGTGTTTCTATGCGATGGCGATGATAGAGGGCAAAGGTGGTGTTGTACAAACAACTGAGAGCACACTGTAGATCATCGATGATATTCGGCAGGAGCAGAATGATATCCTTCTGTAATTCCCACGGCTACCATTTCAAGGAATCATCCGTTCACTGATGAAGTAGTTAGCATCTCATCCCGTGTTTTCTTGATCTTATGTTCTCAGTTTTTTGCACGACCTGATACTCACGATACGTCATGCCGATCCCGCATTTTTCACCGGGCTCGAAATCTGCTCTCTGTGGGAAGTGGCTCCGGGATCGAGTTGCGCAAGCATCGTTCAGTCGATGTCCCGTATCCCAAGGGCAAACGTGTATGTCATTTTTTTCCTTCATAGAAGTTCGAACTTCATCTCGTACCACACAGAGGTACGCTTGTGCAAGAGAAAAGCGGAGGCCAATTCCGAAAAACGCTACTGCAAGCGCCTCAAGCCCTGATACCACGCAGCAATCCAGCGGCGCGGCTCAGTCATCTCCACAGCCACATGCTGCTGCTATCTCCACGTCGTCCACCACACCACCAGCCGCCGCTACTCCCGAAGCTACAGCTACCGACACCAACCCTCATGTAATGATCAAACACGCTGGATGCTGGACTCGTTTCTGGCTCTTTGTCTGTTGTAGCTATTGATGGTCATCACTAATCTAATTTTCCCTTCCTTTACGAAGACTCGGATCTCACCTGACATGCTATGACGTTCGTCTCATCCCTCGAGTTACTTATATTTGATGGAGACTTTATTGCATATACCCCAGCGAGCACCGGACTCCTGGAAGACGCCTTTCACGTGAGTGATCATCAGGAAGGTTGTTATTGATGTCATTGCTATCACTACAGCCTACACAACATGGTAAAGTGTTTATAATATTGACTATCTCGAACAACATTAGACTAGGTTATATATGATACATTAATTACGAACTCACCGCTCGACTGACTGCAGTCACTGAAACTTATGTATCTCAGCTGTATCGTTGCGTCGCAGGTGGAATACAATTCAAGTTGATCATCGTGTACGTATGCACATAAGTACTGCTGTGCCAATAAACAATTTCAACTTCGCGTTGATACAGCACACATCTCCACCAGCTGCCCGATGAGGAATGGTTAACGTTAGTGAGTGCCTACTAGTATTTGTGTTAATGAATGGCCTTGTGTTACCCGTCTGATCGCTTGTCAATAGCAATTCACTTTCGGGCCTTGGGAAGATCATACGTGTTTCCGTCTCCCACAGTATGACGGCGCTACAGCACCACAGGCACTTCCAGAGTGGTATATATGGAGTAATTGAAACTCCGTTACGGCGCATACTAATAGCCTATCAGCAGGTGACATTTCTGTATGACGACACTTTCAACTATCACACTCAATTCTGCTTCAATCGTGGTCGTTCAACATTACCTCGTATCAGAGGGAGAAGTATATCTATCTCGAGAATTTTGTATTCAAGTGGCTAGCAATATACACGAGTTCTGTCAAATTAGTGCCGACTTCTGTGGAGTGCCAATTGCGCCGGAAGGGTTATATACTAGCCTTCTATCAGGTTTGCGTTTCTAAACGCAACGCCCCAGGCAGCATAGGGCCTAGCACTCACCGCCTCTTACTCGTCATGAGTTCATACAAAAGGCAGGCAAACGTCACATCATTTCCCTTATTTTTATCCCTCCTCCGTCGACTCCAGTTTTTCAGGAAAAATGGCTCTCGACTCTCATGGCGTCCTTGCAGCAGTGACCATCGCAATGTATGTTCCATTCCTGTTAATTTCCATCAGGATAGTGTCCAAGTACGGCATGGCCCGAGGTGATGGGTGGATCTTGCTGTTGGTATTCTGCATCAGTAGGTCGTTTGACTTGTTGAAGATACAATTTTAACCCTGTTATACCTTCAGTTCGAGTATTGGGTGGTGCTTTGCTTGTTGCAGCTGAGGAAGTTACTCCTGTGAACACTTCGTTATACACGGGCGGTTACGCTTTAGAAGCATCTGGCCTGTCCCCACTGTTGCTTTGCACGCTGGGTCTGTTGCACTCAATGTACGTTCATCATGTTGCCATTTTGGATGGAATGCGCTGAACACTATCATAGTTCCCGAACTCCTGAAGGCTTTCCGAGATATCAGAAAATATTCCGCCTTCTTCAACTCCTCGGCACGATCGCTCTCATCCTTGTCATCGTCGGCATCTCCGATGAGACAAGTTCTAGCTCAAGCTCAAACTCAAGTGGGAATGCCATGCGCAGGGCTGGTGTCATCCTCTTTGCCATCCTATACATTATCCTTGTCGGTATCTGTATCTATCTATGGACCAAAGCCAGATTTCTCTTAAGACACCGCAAGCAGGTGAGCTTTCCGGAGCATTGTCATCTATCCGACCAATGTTCTTATGCCTTATTATATTCAGCTCTTGGTGGCCATCTCCATCACACTTCCCTTCCTTGCCGTTCGGACTATCTACAGCATCCTATCCACGTTCTCTTCGAGCTCGTTTTCGATAACCTCAACCTCATCCACCCGAGCCGACACTGGCGACCTCGCAAAATTCAACATCTTCACTGGCGAATGGCAGATCTACCTCGTAATGGAGATGCTCATGGAGTATGCCATTGTGATCATCTATTCTATTGCAGCTATCGTGCTGCCCCTCAACGAAGATTACAAGTCTCCGTATTTGTCTCGAGACGGGTATCCTTTGAGTAATAATCGTCGGTATTGAGCGTCAAAGCGCCAGTGAATGAGAGTCATGTCGTGTCCGGTCACGAACGGGTAAGTCGGTCTAACGGATTTAATGATACCATCCTCATCCTACCGCTCGTTGATTATAGGTTTTTGAAATGGTGAAATGGTAATTTATATTATGACCGAGATCGCATACATGTCGATTTCAATTATGGGTGCCTCGAGAGAGTAGGGATACTGAAAACACATACCGAAACCCTTCATGACATCAGTACTTCATGACATCGCGCTGCCGAGACTGAGTACTGAGTTCCGATACATCGCACATCGTGTCCTAATAAAACAGATGACACAGTAAATAACTATGACTAGACATCTACCATTCATGTGCAGGACTTCACATGAGGTCCCGAAGGTATGCGATCGACAAACAATATTATGCCTCCGAATATTTATACCACTTGGCTTGCCAGAAAGAAGATTTCGACTCCAGTGGAAAGGGCGGGGTCGGGATGGCGTATCGTGTGCATCGAGGTGTATGGGGCGGAATAAAAACGAAAAAAACGGCTACGAATGCTGCTTCTATGCGATGGCGATGATAGAGCGAAGGTGGTGTTGTACAAACAACTGAGAGCAAATATTAGGCTGGATGATTGTGATGAAAACAGTATTGGATGAGGCACGCAGCACGTGAGGAGTGAGCACGATTTGGTGAGTCAAAAAAACCTCGGGGTACCCGATTTAGGACCTTGATTCACACTATCATCAGGCTTTGAATTCCCCTAATAATTGTCAGAACATTGCAAGCACATGTCCTTCGCGTTAGACGACCGTCGACAACACACAGACATGGTTGATGCCATGACAGCCAACTCAAAAGCAAAAATTTCCTCGGTCTCAGATATCATTGGTGCCCTGCAAAACATTGTAAGCACCCAGTTTCATAGGCAATCGTCTGCATACAATAATAAACAATTTATTTCAGCTCGCTCATTCACAAGTAATCGTATGTTAATTGAATTCAATGCATGTATTGATGTTATTGATTCACGATGACCAGATGCCAGACCTCGAAACCCAGTATTCTATTAGCAATACGAACTACTCTGCCTTCAAGTTCGATTTCCAGGACATCAGTGCTATCATTACCGAACGCCAACAGCAATTGGATGCAGTATCCCACGAAATCTCACATTTTGAAACAGTCATAGATGGTATCAACCATATTCACCAGCAACTGGTCGCGAAGAAGGACAGGATCACTCAGTCCATGAATTCACACAAGCAACTTGTATCAGCTCTTTGGCGCTTGCCAACCGAAGTCCTATCCCAGATTTTTTCTCACTGTCTTCCCATTGAGCACCGCTTATCACCCGCATCAAAGGCAGCTCCTATGCTGTTGACCAGAATATGTCGACGATGGAGGGAGATTGCTGTGGATATGCCCAGTTTGTGGCACAGACTGTCCGTGGGCAAAGACTGGCGGCGGGCAGCCTTCTGCTATAAGGCATGGCTCAAGCGATCACGAGGGCGTCCGCTCTCGTTGGAACTCCAGTGTTACAAAAATGACTGGACTAAGCTACGAAATCTTCTTCAGCCCTACATAAATCAAGTCTCGTCGCTGTCTGTTAATTTTGACTTCAATGGCTTCCCGGAACCTGAGGTTATCATATCAGACTTCCTAGCACTTGAGGAGCTGACCATACCAACATATAATGGGAGTACTTTCATCCATGTCATCTCGCAACCACCATGCACTCTACGCAGTCTCACGGCAACAGGGGTGTTCTTCGACATGGAGTATACATCTACCGTCAATCCCGCCTGGGCCCACCTCACAAATATCCAGATTGACCTAGACGAACAGAGTGCACTCCCCCAATTGCTCCGTTTATGCCCCAGCCTCTCCTCCTTGACGTTATCTACATATTTTATTGCCTTGGAGACCTTGGAGCCATTCACGCACACCCAACTCCAATCCTTACGGATCGTTTCCGAAGATTTTGACGATAACACCACAGGGCATCTTATCCTATTCGATACATTGTCGCTCCCAAATTTGCACGCTCTCGAAGCTCGCAACATATACTCGTGGCCTCATAAAAAATTCTGTGCATTTTTGACGCGGTCAAAGTGTCCCCTGGAGAGCCTGACGTTCGGCTTCGAAATGCCGATAACAGATAAGCGGCGAGCGGAATATGTTGCCCTCATTCCTTCTCTCAACGTAGTACTTAGTGATATGAGTTACTCCTTGCATTAGAGGTTGCTTTGCGTAAACAAACTTGTTACGGATTTGCGAAATGACGATGTCAGATTGAGACGGAATCAGACCTACGCCGTCATGATCTATGTATTCTAAGCAGACTCGGATTCTATAACGACTTTGTATAGGTGCGCTGCTTTCCATGATCAAGATGAGTCGCTGACCTCGGGGAACGACCATGATGTAGCTTCGGATACAAGTACAACCCAAGCTATGCTTACCGCTCAGGATAGATGCCAAAGAGTAGGCAAGAAAGAACTGCGCCATGCGAAATAAGCACAACTCATCGGAGTCTCAGTTCTGAATCAACTGACAGTAGGTCGACTCGCAGCGCGTGCCAGTGCTGGTGGTCACAGAGTATTTGAGAATTCGAGGCGTCGAACGACTTGAACGAAACAAGAGGCGGGCATCGCAGTGGTCCCACACATTTACGAAATTTCCATACCCCAGATTAAAGCCCGTCAAACACATAGGAACTTGTTAGTATGGGTCTGGGGGAAGTTTGTGGGACAAGAAGTCTTGCAAAGAATGTTATGCTAGGATAGACGAACTGTCAGACGGACGGACGTACCGCCGGACTTTCGAGAATTCCTGTTTCTTGCAAGTGTTGGTGTTGAATCATATAACGACACAGGCGTTCGAACATCTGAGTCTGTGACAAGTATGATAGTACAAGCGGTGAACCACCGTACTGAACTATGCGTCCCTTGTCTCTTTTATGGTTCTAGAAAGATGGAATTACTGATTTGCTCTAGGTTTCTAATGTATTATTGAGTTAGACTCATCGGGCATTATTCTAAATTACCGCTACTTCTTGCTCAGTGCTTGCAGCTGGACGAACTCGTAATAGTCTCCTCTCAGCGCAAGAAGCTCGTCATGGGTGCCAGATTCGCAGACTCTGCCCTCCTTGATAAAATGTCTGCAAAATAATGAGAAAGTGTTCACGAGTGGCGTTGATCCCGTTTGACTCACATGCGATCAGCGTTCTGGATAGTAGAAAGACGGTGGGCGATAGCAATGGTGGTGCGACCTTTCGCAGCTTTGTCAAGAGCTTCTTGTACTACCTTCTCCGAGTTCGAATCAAGGGCTGATGTGGCTTCATCGAGCAGAAGAACCTTGGGATTCCGAAGTAGTGCACGAGCGATTGCTATACGTTCTGGATCGTGATTTCAGCGCACAAAGAAAGGTATCTGTCATGGATGATACACACGTTTCTGACCGCCCGATAGCTGGGATCCCTTCCCACCGACTTCGGTATTGAACCCACTAACATGATCATGTCAGTAAGTCTCAAGCTCTCGTAATGTTGAGAGGTCTTACTCTGGAAGTGATTGAATAAAATCTAGTATGTTGGCACTACGGCAGGCAGCCTCGATCTCTTCTTGCGTGACCTCGGTTTCTGGTCTAGCGGCACCGAGCAAGATGTTGAAGCGGATAGTTCCCGCGTACAAAGTCTGCAAGGCAAGCAGTCAGCTCTCTCTGCCAAGAGATCGATATCACAATCGTATTCACAGGTTCTTGTGACACAAGTGCAATCTGCTGTCGATATGCCTGGACGTTAAACTCGTCAATAAGCTCTCCATCGAGCGAGATCCGTCCAGGAAAGTGGATCGTAGAAACGCTCTAGTAACTGGATGCTAAATGGGCTCTCAGCAGCCTGTTTGAATACAGTAGGATTGCGAGACTTACACCGTGCTTTTACCGCAACCACTGGAGCCGACCAAGGCAACATAAGTTCCAGGTTCAACCGTAAACGAGAGGCCACGAAGGACCTGGGTTCTGGGCCGGGTGGGATAACTGAAACGAACGTTCTCCAGCCGTATAAGGCCTTTGATAGTTTCGCTCGGAACGCTTTTGCCTTCAGTTGACTCTGCATCAATCGCAGGAGTCGAATCAAGGAGCCTGATAATTGCGTCGGCGGCCCCTTTGGCCGATGAGATGTCAGGCACAAAGGCAAAGAAGTTACTAGCTTGCATTGAGGAAAATACCGTGCTCTGCAAATGTATTGGTCACTTCAATAATGTCTAGGAGGTCGACGAAATAACCATACCACTAGAGCAATGAAGAATGATTGTGTGGATAGCTCCAGCCGAGAAACGAGCGTCGAGCCATACCAGACGGCTAGAGATGTCACCCAGAATCCCCATGGCCTGAGAGAATGCATACAGCAAGTTGCTCCAGAGCGCTGTCCTAGTGGATTTCCTGATGGGTGCTTCTAAGCTCTGTTTGTAAATATTAAGACAGTGCTCTTCTCGGGTCAATGATGCAACAGTGCGAATGGCATGCAGCAGCTTCGCAGGCAATCTGAGCAGAGCTTTCTTGCGCTTTCCTGTTCCTCTGATCTTTCAGAACAACGACTTGCTAAAGAACATTTAGCACGATGGGAGCTTATTACGCAGGTCGCATACCAAACGTATGTAGCCACCGGAAATCGAGAGAGGGATGCATGCTAAGTAACGACTGAAATTAAGAGAGATGCTTATAGTGGGAAAACGGGACGCACCCATGCCGACAATGGCCACCTTCCAAGCGTATGCAAAGCCAATAGCCAAACCAATAACTAGAGTGGCGATAGATTGGACGATTCTAATCAAAGTCAGTCATGATACCACTTTGGAAAGAATGGTGATACTCACGTTCCAAGAGTTATGCCAGCGAGACCATTTACCCTCTGGGGGTTTTCGCTCAAGCTTCGACGTCAGAGCGCCAGTCTGACAGAGTCCAATGAGGGTTCTGCACGAGCTGAAGGAGTTATAGGACTCACGCTGTTCTTGTCGTCGTCAAAGTACTCGACTGTCGCCATGTGTGAGAAAAATAATCATGACAACGATTGAGCACTCACTGTCTTGTCGGAGAATGGCTTTGAAGCTCAGCGAACGGAGCTTGGCAGTCAAGACACCGCAGCAGAAGCAAAGAAGTAGTTTGGAAACCCATACACAAGCCGGTCAGGATGGCAAGGATGAAAAACCTGGCTCGAGATAAGCACCAGCATGATATCCAGGCAAATATGTAAACTCTACCAGAGAGCATTCCTGTCGCCTTGGTAGCTGCGCTCGGCATTCGTGGTCGCGCTAAAGCCGGAGATCGCTTGCCCTGCCAGTGCATGCCAGGATAAATGGCTTCTATTTTTCTTGGCGAAAGGACTTACCATAGATGATACCAGAGGCAGGATAAGCGGCACCATTGCCTGCAGAAACACATGAGCCCCGCTGGTAATATATGCTTTGTGGACTCACATATAGGCAAAGAGAGATCCGATCAAATAACGATGAAGCCCTTTGCGGTGAAGAATAGCAATGCGTCTCATCAAATAGAATAAACCATAGTCTCCCTCTGGAGCCTGGTCCCCTGTTTTCTCCTTTAATTGACCGACGACGTCGCTTCCGATGGAGTGAATGGTGCTCTTCCGTTCGAGAAGTTCTTCTGGCCTAGGCTTTTCTAAGTCTGTCTCGTCACTTAATATCACTCCATCCAGATCACCATCTTCATGACCCTCGCGGAGAGATTGAGCTGCGACGAGACGAGAGTATGCCCCATTCTCGTCTGCCAGAAGTTCCGCATGAGTCCCTCGCTCCAGTACGAGACCATCGCCCATTACAAGTATGCAGTCAGCATCTTTAATCGTTGACAAAGCGATGAGCAATGGTGATGGTGGTTCGCCCAGCAGGCTGCCTTGTCGAGAGCGTCCTGTACGATCACTTCTGAGCGAGTATCGAGGGCACTCGTTGCTTCATCAAGGAGCAAGATCCGCGGATCCGACACGATAGCTCGCGCAATGGCGATCCGCTGTTTTTGCCCTCCCGATAACAGAAAACCTCGCTCGCCGACCATAGTGTCATATCCTTGTGGCAGGCGGCTAATAAAGTCATCTGCATTGGACTTGATGCAGGCTGCTTTGATGAGTCCAGATTCTCCTCCTCGGATGCATCCTCGTATTGTGTGCCAATGAGACCATGCGCGACGTTGCCACTGATCGTCGTCGCGAAAAGTACAGGCTCTTGGGAGACCAGACCGATCTGAGAGCGCAACCACTTGATATTCAGTTCTCGCAAGTCAGTTCCGTCAAGCATAACGGATCCGCTGAGCGGATCGTAGAAGCGTTCCGTGAGAGATACAATCGTGGATTTACCAGATCCAGATGCGCCAACGAGAGCAGTGGTCTTGCCAGCCGGGAAGGTGATGTTGATCCCTTTGAGAATGGGGACGTCTGAGCGAGATGGATAGCTGAAACTTGACTTCCTGGAATGTAATCTCGCCAATGACTCTTGGAGGCTTTAGTCCTCCTGGATTTGCAGAGTCGATATCGGGGACACGCTCGATCGTAGCGAAAAGTTTGGCGGCAGCACCACAACCGCGTGTAATGGCTTGAGTAAAACATAATGAGAATTCCGACACAAAAGCAGGACCACGATTACCTTGCAATTCAGGCGCAAGTAGGGCAAGAGATAACGATCCGGTCAAGATGGCGAAGAAGACATTTACAACCTGTCCGGCGTTAGCTGCAAACCAACGTTAAATGCAGTTTCACGATACAGAAACGGGAACAGACCCTTGCCCTCATTTATGAGGGTAGTTCCGAAATCGAACGCCAGCGCATATCCAGCGTAGGTCACGAAGAAGAGGCAGCCTAACCCTGCACCTTGCCAAATACTCGCTTTGGTGTCGACGACGCGAGTTACGTCGACATTCTTATCGTACATTCCAGACATAACTTTCTGCGTCCCGAAAGCCTGGGCGGTGCGAATCGTGGATATGACCTCTTCTGCAAGACTACCTGCCTCAGCAACATGCTTCAAGGACAATCTGGTATTGAACGGAGATCAGAGCTTCAGGACGAGCTCAACAGCAAGTACACTCACTGCGTGTATTTGGAGAGAAACTTTTTCATGGCGGCGCCTATGAATATAATGCACACAATCATGGACGACAATGCAAGAGCGAGACGCCATGACCGGGCATATGCAAGAATAAAGCCAGTGGTGAATGAGCTGATGCAAGCGACCGAAACAGTGACTTTTTCGGATATGCCCATTTGTACCAGATCTATTTCAGAGCAAGGTGACTTCGTTCGTTCACCTTTGAAAAGACCAGATGACTTACGAGTGTCGGTTTGGATGCGCGTCGCAACCTCTCCAGCTCCCACATCATCAAAATAAGCGATCTCCTGTCTAAGGATGGCCTGAAGATACCTCTCTCGTATTCTTTTCCCATTAGCTTCTGAAGTATAAGCCCAGATGCACATGTACATGTAAGTGCAAACAAGCATTGCGATTCCTGGTACGAGTTCAGATGGGTACTAGGTCTCATTCTTATCAAATCAAGAACCTACCAAGATAAGCGAGGTAAGGAAGCATCCAGGCTAGCGCTAGTGAACGAGCTCGGATGCAGCAGCATCTAGCGCGGTCTGTGCTTGCGCGATCACGTTCGCATCATTAGACTGCAGCGCTTGATAGTAGTCGTTCTGTACTGAACTAAATGTAACGAAATCTTGGGTCATGTCGCCGAATACCAAAGTCATCAGAGGCTAGGGTAGGAAATAAGAGGATGCAGCTCGCAACGACGCAAATCCGAAAACTCACCTGCGAAGCGCCAGCAGCAACAGCGAAGATCACGCCAAAAAGGTCCAACATTATTTCAAAGCGAGTTGAATACCTGTATATCGGTGAACCATCGCGTTCAATCAAAAAGCGGGACGATCTAACCGGAATAGCGATAAGAATGACGCAGGGGCGAGTGTGTCCGCTGCCTTTGCGTTCTCGGCTTCGCTCTCTGTTTCCTTGCCAGATGCTTTCTTTGACCAGGGGAGAAAGGCTCGGATGCCCTTTGAATTCTGTTTCACGTCCAGAGTAACGTGCTCTGAGGGTGTGAGCTCCTTTGAAAGGGTACTTTTCTTTTCGTCGGCAGTGACTGGACGGCCCTCCGACGTATGTGACGCAAGTAAAGTGGGTTCTGCACTCATGTTCGAGCGTTGTACTTTGTGTGGAGTGCATCTGCAGGAAATCCATGCATTTATGTATGTAGGTCATTGCGGCTCCGAGGCACTCGGCGGCCTGGCAGTGTGAACAAGTCCGAGTCAAATTCGGCGTACTACTTGAAGAATTGTTACGGTGTCTTGCGAAGCCGTGAAACAATTGAATTGATTTGAAGCATGTACTTACCTCACGTAGCTTCAGCCAAGTTAGCAGCTAGTAGATGCCGCTTCTTCCGACTCCTTGTACCCGAGCCATGACGCGCATGCATGTACCATGTAATATGGTGACGCGACGCTCATGGCATTCCTTGTCAGCATCGTACACGCATGTCAGAACGACGCGGCCTGAAGCAGGATTTTACTACATCAAGTCTTTTTTGGCACGTTCGATCAGACCATCTTGCTTGAAGTTCATGTCTGTCGACGCTCACGAAGGTGAAGGCAATTCAATCATTTGCCGAATTCCACATGCTTATGTCATTCCGTTGGAGCCGACAGCGCTTGTGAGTCACTTGTAGTAGTAGTGACTCGAGTAGTGATTCAGAGTCAGACTCACAACGTTAGACTGCAGTACCCAGCTGCTCAGCGCTGCAGCTCATGCATATGCCCCGATGTGACTTGGGCGTATTGAGTATTCGTCATCATCGTCATCAACGCATGGCACTCCTTTTTCTATTTCTATTCCTCACGGCGTGAATTAAACATATATAATACGCACCGTCTCGTTCCTTCTGTCTCCAAACTCTGAGCGTGTTTCATGTCTTAGCTTAACAGGGCGCTGAGCTCAGGCCGATAAGTTGGGCAAGTCTGATAGGCTTGTCTATGGATCTAGTGAGCATTTACATGATAAGAGTACCCCAAAAGCATTTTCCAAGTCTCAATAACACGATTTCGAATCCCGTTCAGCTAGTGGTAAGGTGTTTCTGAGCTACTTTAAGCCAACAGTATAAGTACTTTTGTCTGTCCGTGAACCATTCTTGTCTAGCTTGTGGGCTGTTAGAAATATCTTAAACCTCTACGGCGCCAACATTTTCATGACATCATGCACAAGAGGTCCTCGGCAAGATTTGGTAGATCAACAATGACTTATAATGGCCTGATAGACGTGAATGTGAGTAAGTAAGCCACCTTAAAATGATGATCGGTGCTCCAAGACCGGGGGAAAATCTGTATTGACTTGAGCTCGCGTTCGACAAATATAGTTTCAACGTACATGGAATCGCACAAGCACTATATGTCAAAATATTGGCTTCAAGCTGAAACATTGGACGCATATACCTGCTGTATCTGGCACAACGACCCACGGTGACGAGCCTTGTTATCCCTGCTCACAAGAGGTGTGTCCCATCGGTTGCAGATATTGAGTTGAAAGAAATAGAGCGATGGGCCTATGTAGTTTCGTTTCTTCAACGGATCTCGACTTCGTGCCCTGGAGTAGGATGCCAGTGAGGACTAGAATCGCCTGCAACGCCACCTTTGAGGTCATCGACCTCAGCGCTAAGGCTTGCTGACATCGAAAGAACGGACGACGAACGAGACGGGACCGAAGGGATTGGTTGTTGCAGTTCGTTACCAAAGCCATACCACCAGATTCGTGCATGAGTCGAGATTTACTGGAGAAAGATGGAACACGTGGCTGGTATCAATGATTTGGAGTTCAGGGTCTACTGAGAGACACAATAATGCATGTCTTACGCACCAGATGGGTAAGAGTATCGGCGGGATAAGGAGCAGTTGAGTAGGGAGAGACTGTTAGGTTCCATATTAACGAGGATAGCAGAGTGAATTTGTGTCAGGCAATCCACTTTCGGGTCTCGCGAGGGTTATGTCAGAATGATATGTATTTCCGCCTCCCACAGTATGGTAATGTACATACCACCCAATAGTAGGGAGTCGGTACTGTGCATCGCTACGAAGGATCACAGTGTACGGGATGGTGTTGACTTGGGCACCAACGGAAGAGGGGTGGAAATCATGGTGGTTGGTATTATTGATTACAAAGTTCTGGATAGTTCCCCGTGAGAGACATGGTAAAACGTACGCCTTGTGCACGAGATATGTGTCGAGCATTGACGACTTGGAGATGACGAGCGCGTTGGAGGAGTTGGCGAAAATGCGGGTGTATGACCTGGGGCGCAATTTAGCATACGATACATTGGCCAGGCAATAGAAACGGGGATCAAAATTGTGAATGATACATGCGACTCGTGATCACAAATGAGGCATTAATGAGGCTTGGGCGCCTCCGATGCACAGCAGTGAAGGATGATGCGTGGAATACGTACCAGCTCAAACTTGCAGTGCACTCTTGACCTATACGCCCATTGTGTCTTGGTGTCAAGACGTCAGGACTTGTCAAGAAACATCGTGGTAAGTGATGATTTTGGACTTTGTTGGATGAAAGCTGATAAGGAACTGTTGATATGTGTTCATCCATTGTTGGGATGCAGGAGACATCAACGATAATGCCCCGCCAGAAATTCGAAGGACACGCCCATTGGGTCACTGGGGGGCATACATCTGCCGGATGGACAGCGGATGATGACTTGTTCATTAAGGACAGCTTGCTGCGGGTATGGAGCGGAAACACATAGGAGAGGATTGGCGGGACGGAGTGTGGACGATAGCGTTGCCTCCGGACGGGAAGTTCCAAAGCAGTTAGCGGAAGTCAAGATGGTGGAGTGAGGTTGTGGGACATCGACACAGGCAAAGTCATCGCGAAATGGACGGGACATACAATAAAGTCTGTCTGCTGCCAGTGGAGTCGAGATGGCCGGCGAGTGATTAGTGATTGATGGGACTGTAAGGGAGTCACAGTGGGACCTAGTGGGACGTGGAGAAGGGACAGACAATCCTCGGTCCAATCGAGACTGAGTAGGAACACATGTTCAGTCGTCTACTCGCCAGACATGATCATGTTCGCAACTGGTGGAGACAACTGGCAATCGAGAGCGAGATCCCAGTCAAAATCTGGGACGCAAACACAGGCGAGCTTGTCGCCACCCTCAAAGGACGCACAAGTTTGGTGATGAGCCTGGCTTGGACCCCAGACGGAACACTTATCTCCGGATCAAACGATTTCTCGATTAGGAAATGGAATACTTCGCCGGGATCGCTGTGCTCGATGGACACGCACTTGCGAGCGCATCCGATGGGATGGCACAACGCGATTAATATTATGGAATCTCGACAACAGCCAGCCCATTATTTTGCCCCTCAAACATGCACGATCAGTGAACTGCGTGTCGTTTTCGGCAGATGGAAAGCTACTAGCCCCTGGCTGCTGCAGTGACCATCACTACGACGCGTATATGTGGCATGTTCCGGCTGCAATAATACAAGAAGCTGGCCTCGACGACCTTCTTTTGGACAAGCATGACAAGTCGTTGCTGGCTGTACGTGAAATTTCAGTTCTCATTGCATTCCAGCTGATGCATTCTAGGCTGATGCTACACGACGTCCTGTGACTCCTGTCCGTCAAGGTCTCCCCTCGGGTACCCCGAGGTTTTTTCGACGACATACCTGATCGTACTCACGTACGTATTTCATCCAAATAATTGTTTTCATCACAATGTTTTCGGTTGTCTGCACAACACCGCCCTCTATCATCGCATACTAGAAGTACCCTTCTTAGCAGTGTTTCATCTTTATTCTACCCCATACACCACGATGCTCACCATACGCCATCCCGACCCCGTCCTTTCCACTGGGTTTGAAATCGTCTCTTTACCAGACCAAGTGGTGTAGAATCGAGCTATGCGAGCGTCCCTCAGCAATAGTCGACGTCCCGCATCGCCAGGCCAAACCCGTATGTCCTTAACGAGGGCCGCACTCCGAGTCAGAAAGCACGGGAAAACCATATGACTGTAACGGGTTGCACCTTTCCCCGACTCCGAATTGAAGGAACCGGAAATAATTGCGTATCTAGTATGAATTGTAAACAAAGACTTTCCAATAGCGAGTGCTCTCTGTGTCAAACTCCAGGTAGAAGACGTTCCTGTCGCGATGCAAAGGAGTCAAATGGCAATTAGTTATGCGAATCATCAGATTGGTAAGTTATGCTCCGGTACCTCTGATCGCTGAGAAGAATCAAAGTACTCTTCAAGTTCCTATGAGGGGGGCGTTTGATCTGTGAAGGATCAGTACAAACGAGGCTCAGGCCTCCATCAGAACCCATGCGCAATTATGGAACGCATGACATTGACATGGCGTGGATAAAGGATTGTAGAGAAGCAATCCACAGGGCCGAGGCACATCACCCAGAAATCATGCGCGAGCACGCAGCTTCTAGGCCAAGAGTTGGTGTTGAACTATATGACGACGCAGGCGTTCGAACGTCCAGGTCTCTGGCAAGTATGATAGTATAGTCGATGAACCACCAGACATACAATATTAATACTGAACTCTGGGTCCCTTGTCTCTTGTATAGTTCTAGAAAGATGAAATTACCGATTTGCTCTAGGTTTCTAAAGTATGGATGAGTTAGACCCATCCGACATCATCTAAATTACCGCTACTTCTTGCTCAGTGCTTGCAGCTGGACGAACTCGTAATATTCTCCTCTCAGCGCAAGAAGTTCATCATGGGTGCCAGATTCGCAGACTCTGCCCTCCTTGATAAAATGTCTGCAAAGTAGTGAGAAAGTGTTCACGAGTGACGATGCTCCCATTTGACTCACATGCGATCAGCGTTCTGGATAGTAGAAAGACGGTGGGCGATAGCAATGGTGGTGCGACCTTTCGCGGCTTTGTCAAGAGCTTCTTGCACTACCTTTTCCGAGTGCGAATCAAGGGCTGATGTAGCTTCATCGAGTAGAAGAACTTTTGGGTTCCGAAGCAGTGCGCGAGCGATTGCTATACGTTCTGGATTATGATTTCAGCGCACAAAGAAAGGTGTCTGTCATGGATGATACACACGTTTCTGGCCTCCCGACAGCTGCGATCCCTTGCCACCGACTTCGGTATTGAACTCACTAACATTATCATGTCAGTAAGCCTCGAGTTCTCGTAGTGTTGAGGTCTTACTCTGGAAGTGATTGAATGAAATCTAGTATGTTGGCACCACGGCAGGCAGCCTCGATCTCTTCTTGCGTGACCTCGGATTCTGGTCTTGTAGCACCGAGCAAGATATTGAAGCGGATAGTTCCCGCGTACAAAGTCTGCAAGGCAAGCAGTCAGCTCCCTCTGCCAAGAGATCAGTATCACGATCGTATTCACAGGTTCTTGTGAGACAAGTGAAATCTGCTGTCGATATGCCTGGACGTTAAACTCGTCAATAAGCTCTCCATCGAGCGAGATCCGTCCGGAAAGTGGATCGTAGAAACGCTCTAGTAACTGGATGCTAAACGAGCTCTCGGCAGCCTGTTTGAATACAGTAGGATTGCGAGACTTACACCGTGCTTTTACCGCAACCGCTAGAGCCGACTAGGGCAACATAGGTTCCAGGTTCGACGGTAAGCGAGAGGCCACGAAGAACCTGGGTTCTGGGACGGGTGGGGTAACTGAAACGAACGTTCTCCAGCTGTATAAGGCCTTTGATAGTTTCGGTCGGAACGCTTTTGCCTCCAGTTGACTCTGCATCAATCGCAGGAGTCGAATCAAGGAGCCTGATAATTGCGTCGGCGGCCCCTTTGGCCGATGAGACATCAGGCACAAAAGTAAAGAAGTTACCAGCCTGCAATGAGGAAAATACCGTGCTCTGCAAATGTATTGGTCACTTCAATAATGTCTGGATGTCGACGAAATAACCATACCACTAAAGCAACGAAGAATGATTGTGTGGATAACTCCAGCCGAGAAACGAGCGTCGAGCCATACCAAACGGCTAGAGACGTCACCCAGAATCCCATGGCCTGAGAGAATGCATACAGCAAGTTGCTCCACAGCGCTGTCCTAGTGGATTTTCTGATGGGGGCTTCTAAGCTCTGTTTGTAAATATTAAGACAGTGCTCTTCTCGGGTCAATGATGCAACGGTGCGAATGGCAGCAGCAGCTTCACAGGCAATCTGAGCGGAACTTTCTTGCGCTTTCTTGTTCCTCTGATCTTTCAGAACAACGACTTGCTAAAGAACATTTAGCACGATGGGAGCTTATTACGCAGGTCACGTACCAAACGTATATAGCCACCGCAAACCAAGAGAGGGATACATGCTAAGTAACGACGAAATTTGTAAGAGAAATGCGTATAATGGGAAAACGGGACGCACCCATGCCGACAACGGCCACCCTCCAAGCATATGCATAGCCAATGGCCAAACCAACCACTAGAGTGGCGATAGATTGGACGATTCTAACCAAAGTCAGTCATGACACCACTCTGGAAAGAATGGTGATACTCACGTTCCCAGAGTTATGCCAGCGAGACCATTTACCCTCTGAGGGTTTTCGCTCAAGCTTGACGTCAGAGCGCCAGTCTGACAGAGTCCAATGAGGGTTCTGCACGAGCTGGAGGAGTTATAGGACTCACGCTGTTCTTGTCGTCGTCAAAGTACTCGACTGTCGCCATGTGTGAGAAAATAATCATGCAACGATTGAGCACTCACTGTCTTGTCGGAGGATGGCTTTGAAGCTCAGCGAACGGAGCTTGGCAGTCAAGACAGCGGCAGCAGAAGCAAAGAAGTAGTTCTGGAAACCCATACACAAGGCGCTCAGAATGGCAAGGATGAAAAACCTGGCTCGAGATAAGCACCAGCATGATCTCCAGGAAATATGTTAACTCTACCAGAGAGCATTCCGGTTACCTTGGTAGCTGCGCTCGGCATTCGTGGTCGCGCTAAAGCCGGAGATCGCTTGCCCTGCCAGTGCATGCCAGGATAAATGGCTTCTGTTTTTTTTGGCGAAAGGACTTACCAAAGATGATACCAGAGGAAGGATAAATAGCACCATTGCCTGCAGAAACATATGAGCCCAGCTAGTAATGTGTACTTTGTGGACTTACATATGGCAAAGAAAAATCCGATCAAGTAACGATGAAGCCCTTTGCGGTGAAGAATAGCAGTGCGTCTCATCAAATAGAATAAACCGTAGTCTCCCTCTGGAGCCTTGTCCCCTACTTTCTCCTTTAATTGACTGACAACGTCGCTTCCGATGGAGTGAATGGTGCTCTTCCGTTCGAGGAGTTCCTCTGGCCTAGGCTTTTCCAAGTCTGTCTCGTCACTTGATACCACTCCATTCAGATCATCATCTTCATGACCCTCGCGGAGAGATTGAGCTGCGACGAGACGAGAGTATGCCCCATTCTCGTCTGCCAGAAGTTCCGCATGAGTCCCTCGCTCCAGTACGAGACCATCGCCCATTACAAGTATGCAGTCAGCATCTTTAATCGTTGACAAACGATGAGCAATGGTGATGGTGGTTCGTCCAGCGGCTGCCTTGTCGAGAGCGTCCTGTACGATCACTTCTGAGCGAGTATCGAGGGCACTCGTTGCTTCATCAAGGAGCAAGATCCGCGGATCCGACACGATAGCTCGCGCAATGGCGATCCGCTGTTTTTGCCCTCCCGATAACAGAAAACCTCGCTCGCCGACCATAGTGTCATATCCATGTGGCAAGCGGCTAATAAAGTCATCTGCATTAGACTTGATGCAGGCTGCTTTGATGAGTCGCAGCTTCTCCTCATCGGATGCATCCTCGTATTGTGTGCCAATGAGACCGTGCGCGACGTTGCCACTGATAGTCGTCGCAAAAAGTACAGGCTCTTGGGAGACAAGACCGATCTGAGAGCGCAGCCATTTGATATTCAGCTCTCGCAAGTCAGTTCCGTCAAGCATAACGGATCCGCTGAGCGGATCGTAGAAGCGTTCCGTGAGAGATACAATCGTGGATTTACCAGATCCAGATGCGCCAACGAGAGCAGTGGTCTTGCCAGCCGGGAAGGTGATATTGACCCCTTTGAGAATTGGGACGTCTGGGCGAGATGGATAGTTGAATTTGATTTCCTGGAACGTAATCTCGCCAGTGACCTTTGCGGGCTTTAGTCCTCCTGGATTTTCAGAGTCGATATCGGGGACACGCTCGATCGTAGCGAAAATTTTGGCAGCAGCACCACAACCACGTGTAATGGCTGGAGTAAAGCATAATGAGAATTCCGAACCAAAAGTGAGACCATGATTACCTTGCAATTCAGGAGCGAGTAGGGCAAGATTTAATGATCCAGTTAAGATGGCGAAGAAGACATTTACAACCTGTCCGGCGGTGGCTGCCAACCAATGTTAAATGCAGTTTCACGACACAGAAACGGGAACAGACCCTTGCCCTCATTTATGAGGGTAGTTCCGAAATCGAACGCCAGCGCATATCCAGCGTAGTTCACGAAGAAGAGGCAGCCTAACCCTATACCGTGCCAGATACTCGCTTTGGTGTCAAGGACACGAGTTACGTCGATGTTCTTATCGTATATTCCGGACATAATTTTCTGTGTCCCGAAAGCCTGTGCAGTGCGAATCGTGGATATCACCTCTTCTGCGAGACTACCTGCCTCAGCAACATGCTTCAAGGACAATCTAGCATTGAACGGAGATCAGAGCTGTAGGACGAGCTCAACAACAAGTACACTCACTGCGTGTATTTGGAAAGAAATTTTTTCATGACGCCGCCTATGAGTAGGATGCACACAATCATGGACGACAATGGAAGAGCGAGACGCCATGACCGGGCATATGCAAGAATAAAGCCAGTGATGAAACAACTGATGCAAGCGACCGAAACAGCGACTTTTTCTGATATCCCCATTTGTACCAAGTCTATTTCAAAGCAAGGTGACTTCGATCATCCCAGCTTTGAAAAGACCAGTATGACTTACGAGTGTCGGTTTGGATGCGCGTTGCAACCTCTCCAGCCCCCACATCATCAAAATAAGCGATTTCTTGTCTAAGGATGGCTTGAAGATACCTCTCTCGTATTCTTTTCCCATTAACCTCTGAAGTATAAACCCAGATGCACATGTACATGTACGTGCAAACAAGCATTGCGACACCTGGTACGAGTTCAGATGGGTACTAGGTCTCATTCTCATCAAATCAAGAACCTACCGAGATAAGCGAGGTAAGAAGCATCCAGGCTAGCGCTGTGAACGAGCTCGGATGCAGCAGCATCCAGCGCGGTCTGTGCTTGCGCGATCACGTTCGCATCATTAGACTGCAGCGCTTGATAGTACTCGTTCTGTACTGAACTAAATGTAACGAAATCTTGGGTCATGTCACCGAATACCAAAGTCATCAGAGGCTAGGGTAGGAAATAAGAAGATGTCGCTCGCAAATCCGAAAACTCACCTGCGAAGCGCCAGCAGCAATAGCGAACATGACGCCAAAATAGTCCAACATTATTTCCAAGCGAGTTGAATACCTGTGCCGGTGAATCATCGTGTTCAGTCAAAAAGTGGGATGATCTAACCGGAATAGCGATAAGAATGACGCGGGGGCAAGTGTGTCCGCTGCATTTGCATTCTCGGCTTCGCTCTCTGTTTCCTTGGATGCTTTCTTTGACCAGGGGAGAAAGGCTCGGATGCCCTTTGAATTCTCTTTCATGTCCAGAGCAGCATGCTCTGTGTGTATGACCTCCTGTGATGAGGTAGGTTTTTTTTCGTCGGCAGTGGGTGGACGGCTGTCCGACGTCTGTGACGCATGTAAAGTGGGTGCTGCACTCATGTTCGACTCGGAGGGCACTTTGAGTGGACATCAGGAAATCTATGCATTTATGTAAGTTACTGCGGTGCCGGCGGCGTCAGCAAGTACTTGTCAAGTTCGGCGTATGTACTAAGACTGTTCCGGTGTCTTCAATTTTACGTGAGAAGTGATCAACAATTCATTGATGGGGGACATGTACTTACCTCACGTAGCTGCGGCCAAGATGCTGCTTCTTCCTCGTACCCCGGAAGCCACCATTGTGACATGTACTGTATAATATGGCAACACGATGTTTATTACACTCATTATCACATCGTACACGCGTATCAGAGCAATGCGGCTGAAGCCAAGTCTTTTTTGACATGCTGGAGAGTTTGATCGGACTAAGTCTACTAGCCTTCCTCGGAGCTGTCCGAGTTGAGGCACACGAAAATGAAGGCATTTGCCGGATTTCAATAACATGATGACATTCTCGGATTGTAGCTGTTGTGAGTCACTGCTAGTAGTGCAACGCTATGTAGTAGCTATAGTGATTCAGACTCACAACTGCGTTAGTAGCACTCACTAGTACTGTACTAGTATTAATACTGCAAGGACAGCCCGTTGGGGCCGTCAATGATGCATCTGATGGGCTGATGTGACTTGGGCGCTGAGGCCGATAAGTTGGACAAGTCTGATAGGCCTGTCTATGGATCTAAGCGTTTGCATGACAAGTGTCACTTTCCCTACTCAATAACACAATGTCGAATCGCATTCAGCTGGAGGTCAAGTATTTATGAGTTCCCTTGGGCCAACAGTATAAGTACTTTCGTCTGTCCATGAATCATTAATTTCTTGCAGCCATTACCCTCCGTTGCCTTGCCTTGGTACTCGAGCGGCTTGTGAGCTGTTAGGAATATCTTAAACCTCCACGGCGCTAAATATTTTCATACAGACTTGCGATGTCCTACACATTGTAGAGGTCCTCACAGCAAGATTCGGTAGGTCAACCATGACCTACAATGACCGGTGGAACGTGGTTGTGAGTAAGCCACATTGACAATGATGGCCGGCGCTCCGAGACCGGGGGCCGAACTGTACAAATTTAAACTTGAGCTCGCGTTGGATAGATACTTAAGGCTGTAACGTACATGGAATCCTACAAGCGCCATGCCCTATATTATCAAAATGCTTCAAGCCGAAATATTGGGCGCATAAACCTGCCGATCTTGCACAAATGATTCACAGTGACGAGCCTTATTATCACTGCACACAAGAGGTGCGTCCGCATCGGTCGGCAATATTGAATTGGAGGAAACAGAACGATACGCCTATGTAATTTCATTTCTTGGGTGGATCTCGATTTCGTGCCCTGGATGTAGAACAGCAGTGAGGGTAGAACCGCCCGTAACGCCACCTCTGAGGTCAGACTTCAGCATTTGTTGACATCGAAAGAACGGATGACGATGAGACGGGGACTGGTGGGACTGGGATAGGTTTACAATGTAACGTTTAACGTCGACAACGATCTATTTCAGTTGCGCAGATATCGCAACGAGAGGTGACGACTCGGCCATCGTGCCTCTTACAAGAATGAGTACATCGTTGGATTGTCCATTCCACCGAGGGCACACCTTTGTTGCGACCCAACTAAAAGACCGACTTCTGTAGCTTCAGGGTATGGCATCCTCCAACTGAGGGCTTTGTTTCAAGGCCTCTGGACATCATCCCCCAGTGATCCGGACCGTTTGGACCACGACGCCTTATCGAGACAGACATTCGGTGTTGTTGCAATCCGCCGCCAAAGCTATATCACCAGATTTATAGAGAAAAATGGAACGTGGCTGGTATCAGTGACTGGGAATTCAGGGTGGTTTTCACCTACTGAGAGACATAATAATACATGTCTTACGCACCAGATGGGTACGGGCACTGGCGGGAAGACGAGCACCTTCGAGGAGCAGTTGAGTGGGGAGAGACAGTTTTACACTGTGTTGGTTCCATGGAGGATAGCGGAGTGAAGTTATGTCAGGCAATTCACTTTCGGGCCTCGCCAGGATAATGTTAGAATCACACAAACTTCCGCCTAATTACCACCCTATAGTAGTGGGTCGGTGCTGTGCATCGCTATGAACGGAAGAGGGGTAGAAATCATGGTGGTTGGTATTAGTGATTGCAAAAATTCTAGATATTTTCCCATGTAGTGAGAGACACTGTAAAATGTATGCCTTGCGCACGAGATGTGCAGAGTATTGATGACTTGGAGATGACGAGCGCGTTCGAGAAGGAGTTGGCTGGTCTGACTCGGAGGCGCTATAATTGTGATTGGCCAAGCAGTAAAAACGGGGATCAAAATTGTGAATGATGGAATGCGACTCGCGATCACAAATGAGGCTTGGGCGCTCCCGCTGCGCAGCATATGCTGTAAGCTGTGAAGTGAACACGAGGATAATGCATAGAAAACGTACCAGCTCAGACTTCCAGTGCACTCTTGACCTATATGCTCATTGTGTCTTGGTGTCGAGACGTTGATATCTGCTAAGAAACATCGTCGTAAGTGATGGTTTGGAATTTGTTGTTGGATAAAAGCCGAGACAGAGCTGCGCCCAGTAGTTGATTATGTCTTCATCCATCGTGGGAAGGCAGGAGATATCAACGATAAAGCCCCACCAGAAATTTGAAAGACACACCGATTGGGTTGAGAGCGCCATACATTTGCCGGGCGGAAAACGGATGATGACTTGTTCATGGGACGGCTCGCTGCGGGTGTGGAACTTTTTAAAAAAAATCGATTTATTGTCCCTTGGGGTCGAAGACCATATGTTGGACGTAGCCCTATTCGAGTGCGGGGGGATTTGCTCCCGGCTTTCTATCGTAGGGTATGGAACTTGAAGAGTGGTGAACAGATAGGAGTGGACTGGTGGGATGGAGATAGCGAAGTGTGGACGATAGCATTGTCTCCGGACGGGAAGAAAGTGGTTAGCGCAAGTGAGGACGGCGGAGTGAGGTCGTGGGACGTCGACACAGGCAATGTCATCGCAAAATGGATGGACACACAAAAACAGTGAGGTCTGTGTGCTGGAGTCGAGATGGTCGGCTAGTGGTGAGCGGATCCATTGATGGGACTGCAAGGGTGTAGGATGTGGAGAAGGGAGAGTCAACCCTCAATCCAATCGAGACTGGGCACAAAGAAGCGTATGCAGTTGTCTACTCGCCAGACATGACCATGTTTGCAACTGGTGGACACGACGAGCCTGATACCGAGCACTCAGTCAAAATTTGGGATGCGAAGACAGGGGAGCTTGTCGCCACTCTCAAAGGACACACATCTATGTGTAGCTGTCAGTTTCGTGTTAGCGAGAAAGACATCAGATATATTGATCGTCTAATGATATCTGATGGTACAAATAGTAACAAAGGGATTGTGAAGCTATTCGGGCTCAAAACCCGAAACACCGTTTCGAACCTGTGGAACAAGTCCAGGATGAGCCGCGAGGGACAGATGGGCCACAGCAGCTCACGATGCAGAATTCGAAGGATTCTGCCAAGATCGAAAATGGTGCGTCGAACGAACTTTTCAACATTAAAATGAAGGATATGCTATAACATAAGCGAGGCGTTAGCTGCCAAAAGGGAGCGGCGGGCGGGTGCGACGAAACGAGAGTGTAGTCGAGCAGTGGAGGGCTTGCAAGTACTACGTAGTACGTGGTAGTACGAAGCAAGAAAGGTGGGAAAACACGGAATACAAAATTTGGTGTTTTGCCTAGCTTGGACCCCAGATGGAAAAACACTTGATTAGGACGTGGAATACTTTACTAAATTGGAAGCAGATCGCCGTGCTGGATGGGCACGGTGACCGACGCTGTCTGTGGCATTGCAATATCTCCCAATTCCCGCATCCTCGCAAGTGCATCGTACGACGAGACAGCGCAATTATGGAATATTGACAACAGCCAGCCCATCAGTTTGCCCCTCAAACATACACGATCACTTGACCGCCTGTCGTTTTCGTCACATGGAAAAACTACTAGTCACTGGTTGCCGGGACAATAATGCGTACATATGGGATGTTACTACGATATTAACTTGAACAGAAGCTGGCCTCGATGACCTTCTTTTGGATAAGCGCGACAAGTCGCTACTCGCTGTGCGTGAAATTTTCATCGACAAGTTCTCATTGCATTTAAGCTTATGCATTCTAGGCTAATGTTACACGACGTCCTGTCCGTCAGCCAATCAAGATCTCTCCTCAGGTACCCCGTGGTTTTTTCGACGACACACCAAATCGTGCTCATGTACGTCACTAATTATGTCTCATCCAATCCTGTTTTCATCACAATCCTCTCAGTTGTCTGGCCCCCACTCTTTATCATCACCATCGCATAGAAGCACTCTTCGTAGCCGTTTTTTATCTTTACTCCGCCCCATACACCCCGATGCACACGACACGCCATCCCGACCTCGCCCTTTCCATTGGGTTCGAAATCGTCTCTTTGCCAGACAAAGCGGTGCAGATATCGAGCTGCACGAGCGCCCCTCAGCAATAGTTAACGTCCCGCATTGCCAGGCCAAACGTGTATGTCACTTTATCCTTCTCGAATGTTCAATTCCTCCTGATATCATTTTTTCCTTCGAACTCTATCTTACATCACGTAGAGAAACGCTTCAGCAAGAGAGACACGGAGGCCAATCCCGAAGCCAATCCGGACAAACGCTACGACGGGAAGCTCACGTCCTCCAAATAGCACCATCACGCAGCAGTCCAGCGGCATGACTCAAACCCAGTCATCTTCACAATCGCATGCTGCCATCTCTACCATGCCTCCCGTCGTCGGTAATATAACTGCGAGCACTACCCCTCACGTAACGATAAAATACCCTGCACGTTGGACTCGCTTCTGGCTCTTTATCTGTTGTGCGTCTCCTGAGTATACCGACGGTCATCCTTAATCTGCCACTCCTTTACGACGACCACTCCCCGTCATTCGACATCTTGTGATACGGTTATCTTACCCCTCGAGCACACACTTACAACGTCATTTATTGCACACTTTATGCAAGTACCGGGTGCTAGCGCTCAGGTAGAGCTCGAGTGCTGCGCGCACATGGAAGTTGCTTCCGCGGAAAGCCCTTACATATGGTAGATAGTTGTTCCTATATAAACAGCCTGCCTTATCTGCTACAGATAGATACATTTCGTGTTTGTGAAAATGGAAGACACTGCTAGTTCGTAAACTGGCCAGATCTAGAGGCTAGAAAGTACAAGCAAACCACGATCTAAACCATCAAAATCAAACTTTTTTGTTGAGCACACGCATTGGTTAGGTTGTTTTGATGAGAACATCTGCCTTGGTGTGTTTTTGGTGTGTAACCAGCGAAAAACGAACCGGACTCAGTTGCCGAGCGGGACCTTAGGCAATGCATGTTTAACGAGGTTTAACGGTGATCGTAACAGTATCAACTCGCGAAGGTTGGTTTCACTTTGTCAGATGAGTTTATGAGTGCATTAAGAAATTGAGTGATGGACGAGCATAACTTACAGTGAATAATCAGTGAACAAGCTTGATGGAATCAACACCTACAGCATATTAATTGTGTTCAAGTTCTCAACATCGCATTATCGTTGAATCTTCTCGAATGCCTGTAAATTATGAATGATAACTGGAAAACTTTCCGAGGAAAAGCTGAAGCCATCGCGGGGCAGAAAGTGAATTCCTTTTCATGGACAAACTATCACATAAAAAGAGGTTTTGGCACAATGACTGGGCCTACCAAGTTAAAATTAACTTCCAAGGATCTATACACTGCAAAAATGTTGTCAGTAGGTTTCGAACCAGCTCCAAGAGAAACGGATACGATGCCTCCTTGGGACAAAAATCTCCTTGGCTACATTCGAAGTCGTTGCAATCATCGCGAAACCATACTGCCAGATTCGTGCGTGGTGGATTTGTGCCTTGGTTTGTGGAGAAAGATGGAACGTATGGCTGGGAGCAGTGATTGGGAGTTCAGGGTGATTTTTCGGAGATACAATAATGCATGTCTTATGCACCAGATAGGTACGAGCGTTAGCGGGACGACGAGCACCTTCAAGGAGCAGTTGAGTGGGGAGAGACAGTTCTACACCGTGTTGGTTCCACATTAACGAGTGCAGCTGTGTCAGGCTATTCACTTTCGGGCCTCGCGAGGACAATGTTAAAATCACATGGATTCCACCTCCTACAGTATGGTAATGTAGATACCCCCCAATAGTAGGGGCTTGGTGATGTGCATCGCTAAAATGAATCACAGTGTACGGGTCGGTGTTGGCTACCGACGGAAGAGGGGTAGAAATAATGGTTTTTAATATCAGTGATTGCAAAAGTTCTGGATAGTTTTCCCGCGTAGTGAGGAACACGGTAAGATGTACGCCTTGCGCACGAGATATACGTCGACCATTGACGACTTGGATATGACAGACGAGCGGGTTGGAGGAGTTGGCTGGGGAAATGTGGAAGTATGATCTGGGGCGCAATTTAGCATATGATACATTTGCCAGGGAGTAAAAATGGGGATCAAAATTGTGAATGATGGAATGCGACTCGGGATCACAAAAAGAGACTTGGGCGCGTCCGCTGCACAGCATGTACTGCATCAGGAAAACCCTCCCATGTAAACTTAGACAAAGCTGCTCACATTGGATCTTTTCTAGCGCAATTAACGCAAACTAGACATATTAGACGAGCTAAGCACCCTAGCCAGACTTTATTGCTGATTTTCAATTAGCGATACCTTACTGCAATTAGAACAATTTGACTGTCCTTGTAGACGACTAGGAAAGGCTTTACATGCCCTAGGAAACACTGATAGGAAGACTTTCACACTTCGAATACACGAAAAAATTAATATGATTAAACTCGGGTATCAGGCTACAGCAGCGGTAAAGTACGATCTAAACGAGGAAAACATAGTGAATGGTGAGATATAGCGAGCGGCGAGGTATCAAGGATTATAGGATACATTGAATTCCTGCAAAATACGGCATGTCAGTGAGATATTCTACTCATCGTCCATGCCATCGAGGTCCAAGAGTGCTAGATCAGTGTCTTTGTCATAGACACCAATTGTGTCACGACGGAAACCTCTGCAAGTAGCAGTAAGTCAGAAATGTGTACACCAACTTGGATGCAGACTTACTGAACCTCCTCGTAGATATTGGCCATCATTTTATGAAACTTGACGGGAGCGGTCCTTCGGATTTTCTCCAACAACGCCACGTGGTAGGTATAGATGTCACAGAATTGGTTGCCTGTGAACTTGAAGTCGTCACCTGCCTTGTTCTTCTTTGCAATAAGAGTAGCGTGAATCTGACAACAAATAAGATTAATGAGAAGATAAGTGCGAACACGAACTTACAGCTGTGCTGACTATTGCTACCATGGGGATGGGAACCTCTGGCCGACTGGCCTTGTTCTTCGCAATGTCAACGAAGCGTTGCGCAAACTGCGAACCAATAGACTTCGCGTTTTTGAAGAATACCTCGTATAGAGTGTCGACAACAGGCTGCCCTTGGTATGGTTTCTGTCGTTTTGGTGAAGGAAGACCCTCTGCCTTGATGCGAGGTGTCAGTGCAATGTCAAATTCTCGCCTGAAAAAAAACTAACATCAAATATCTGCGGGAAAATATAGGAATGACTCGCCAGGAGACGGTCAATGATGGCATCGCAGTTATGACTGAGTCGGAAGTATCCTGGGGCACATTTACAGGTGACATCCTTGATATCAGTGCGAAACAGGCTCGCACGAGCATCGATCTACAGCGTGTGTCAATATTAAACCATGATAAGACAGATCACTTACTAGATTGGCGAGTGCCGACAAATACTCGTCATCAACATACATCCGTTTCTCAATCGGCACTGTCTTGTGGTGCTTTGCAGCCTGCAATAGGATTTCGCGCGCATAGGAGTTCTTGGCCACAAGTTCAGGGTATCCATGCTTGAAAGCAATGTATGCTTTGACCTCGAGGATGCCGTGTTGAATCACCTTGCGAAGATCCACGTTCTGGTCTGTAAGTCGAACTGACCCAGTCTTTGTGTAAACAAGATTAGCCATGGGGTCAGCATGCGAAGACTCGGACATGGAGGGCTCAGGTTTGATATCGAAAACGGAATCTTCGTCTTCTTCATCTTCTTCAAGTACAGAGGAGCGCTTGTTGCTTTTGCTGACGCGTTTGAGAGGTTGCGGTCCAAAGGATGACCTCGTCATTGGAGAGTCCCACATGGGGACCTGTTGAGTAAATTTTGAAAGTTTAGTAGAGTCGGAATCAAAATATAAGTTTCAAACTTACTTCGGCAGCATATTTCTTCTCTTTCGCACTCGAAGGCTTGAATTGAGAGCCCCATACAGGTGGTGGAGGTGTCGGTGACTGGGATGGGTCGTTTCGAGGTCTGCCAGACGTGCTCTTCACAGGCTTTCCCTGCTGTGCATTGGCAATTGCAGGAACCTTGAAGGTTGCACAGATTACTTATGTAAGCTAGTAGTGCGGAAAACTCACCTCTCCAAACAGTGCTTTCAGCGATGCTCTCAACTGGCTCTGAATCTGAGTCCGACTCTTCAATATCGGTAATTCTATCAGAGGCACTCTGCTTGCTGGCATCGTCTGAATCGATATCCGACTGTTCAACGAAGACACGAGCTACAACTTTCAATCATTAGTAAGACCGTCTGTCCCGTGGGAACACGCAATGCTGACCTTTCTTCTTTGACCACCGAGGTTGGCTAACCTCGACGTTGTCCTCAGAGTCTGAAGCGAGAGGTGGTGGCCGCTCTAATCTTTCTGTAAGCAAGTTTGCCTTTGTGGGCACTGACTCGGATACTTACTGCTGCTTTTGCTGTTTTCAGTTCTGAGGAGAGGCGCTGGTGTCCTTGCTTTTGTCGCGTCACCTGCATTTATCATAGTGAGTCATTGTAACATGTGAGCTAGTAATCCTGACTTACTTTTACTAACTGGCTTGGCTCGGACCCGTTTTGGAATAGGTGCGATATCGTCAATGGGTGAGCGTTCACGCTTGCGTGTCCGCTTTTTTTGAAGTGCTCCCCACACTGCCGCTTGTGAGTGTGAATTTGTATGATGACATGGTGCTTACCTGGATTTTCTAGAGCCTGGTCTTTTGCTTTGCGTCGTACTTGAACCAAGTGAGTTTTAAGCATGTTGTCATGAATTTTGCGCTTACACCGTGGATGCACAGGCGTGTCCATTGAAGGCGAGACGAGGTTGGAAGGAGTGAAAAATAAGAAGGAATGAATGTGAGAGTGCGTTTCTGCTACGGAAAGACCGCTTCAAAAGGTGAGTGAGTGTTTTTTTTTCGTTTGAGTCAGCCACTCAATTTGAAACAGTCTGCCTATTATACCATAACGCTGAGCGCTGAGCCAGGGTTGACCTTTCCCTGTCTGGCTTAGTCCGCTATTTGGTGAGTTTTTGTCGAAAAACTTAAACACAGCCTTACAAAGTGCTAGTGCGCACACTCGTTTTCTCCTTGGTAACGTTCCTGTCATCGGGAACATTCTTATTGGTGGCCAGATAATCGGATGAAAGGCGTTTCCTCCATTTACCGACTACCAAGAAGCATTCTCTTCCCCACTACCACCCTCTATGCTCAGTACATTCAAGTACTATGGTGCTCCCTTCATTTACGAACTATCGAGACGCTTTCCCCATCACCGCCCTCTATGTTTAGCACGTTCTACTACTTTTCCTCCAGGCTGATAATGTGTCCGTCGGCTGGGCACAGCATTCCTCCATTACGAACTATCGTGCTTTACTCCCCATTACCACCCTCTTTGTTTAGCATGTTTCATTTACTTTTCCCCCTGGTCCCGTCACCCAGGCTAATCGGATGCAGGTCATTTTGTCCATTTATCATGAAGCAGCCTCCATTGCCACCCTCTGTCTGACTCGGACGTGTTCAACTACTGCGCTTCAACTACTGCGCTTCAACTACTGCGCCTGGCGAAAAGTCATTTACCTGCGCTGGCATGCTCGGACATGTTCAACTACTGCGCTTGGCGAAAGTCATTTACCTGTGCTGGCATGCTCCGGACATAATTAATGAGTTGCTTCCATTGCTGCAAGGTTTGGATTTGCCAATACTGCGCATATGGCATCCTGTCATCACTTACCCAATTTTTTTTACTTCGGTAGAGCCTCACCTTTGACATGCTGGTGACACCACCTCTCTTTTCTGGCCGTCAGAATTGCGATTCACTTGTACTGTTGGGAGACGCGTTGTGAGTGATTTTCAGACACCCAGTGTTCAATTTTTTTCATAAAATTAATACAGAGCATGCCTCAAATAACATGTCCTGCGTGTGATAAACAACTTGCGTCAATCACAGGTTATAGCCAGCATCTCGCAAAGACCACCAATCCTGACTGTCACGCCCTATACCTTTCCTCGCGGCAATTTGCTCCAGACCCACCAAACGAAGGAGATATAGATGCTCCTGATCCAGATCATGCCATGTTCGAAGGTGATTTTTTTGGAACATACGCTGAGGACGAGCTCGCATGGCCAGGCTCAGATGACGAGGAGCATTTGGACGAAGACGACTTAGGGTATGACATTGGCCCGGGTGATCACGATGAATGGGAACCTCCTGCCGCAGTACCAGTGCCTCCGAGTCCCGCCACTCCTGCGCATGGTGAACATCATGACATTGATGGTCATGATCATTGGGAACCTCCTGTAGCGCCTGTGCCTGCGCACAATGACGCCTTCCACCCACCTACTGCAGATCAAGGCCAAGATGCTCGGCATATGGCACAACAGCGACTTCACGAACACGAACAGGCACCCACAATTCATCAGGAAAATATGCTAACTCTATATAGCCCAGTATAGTGCCCTATAGCCCCCCATAGACCATATGGGACCTATAGCCCCATAGCTAAGTCCCCAATTATATAGGCCTGTAGAGCACGTCATAGTGGGGTATAGCACCATATAGTCTGTCTAAAAAATTATATTCATCATAATAGGATCATTTGTATGACTATAATCATCTATACCAGGCTACATTGACCCTTATATCTTCTGTATCCTCTTGATATATGATGTTATACAGACCTATGACATTTCTATATAGCTCCATATCTCAATCAATTCATTGCGTCATCCAGATGATACATTTGTCAAATATTTATTTTACAAAATCTAGTATATCAGTTGACGACAGCATCATCAACATTTGCTACACCAGACATTGGCCTAGCATACTCCTCCATTGCATCAAAATCAACATCAGATTCATCACTGTCGCCTCCCTCTTCTCTAAGCTGGAAACGACAAGCCTCTCTATCATAGTGTTAGTAACAAGATCATATGATTTTAAAACCGCAAAACACGTACCCAATATCAGTCCACAGATCATCTCTCAATTTCTTCATATAGCCTGGAGTCTTAAGGCTATACTCAGTGAGTTTAGACAAGTAGTACTGATGTCTATGTATGACGTTCAGTAATATAACCAAAAAATATCCAAAAAAGTAAAATATATATGCACCTTGGTTGAAACACTGGTTCCTTGAACTCTACTACAACTGGTGTACCTGTGAGCATGCCTTTGTATGCACACTCTATCTGAAGATGCGTTAAGGTTAGTATGAAATATTATTGAATAATAAAACTTACTGAAGCTGCCAAAAGCGCAATAAGATTATCAGGAAGCTTTTGAAATTCTTCCTTGTAAAGCAATCCTTCAGCACCAGCGCCCTGAAAAAATTGGCCCATGAGAAGTTGCTTGATGAGGTGTGTGCGGAAAGGAAGGTTCTTGTTGAAGGTCTTGGCCTGAATACACGTCTAGTCAGTATACATATACAAAGGTAAGAAGTAGATGGCGTACTTTAATGTCCATCTCACCACTAAGGAACGGCTCCTTTCTTGTAGATATAACCCAATTAGCTATGTCGGCTGAGGAAGGAAGACAATGTTGAGATTAGATTTAAAAATATATAACCTGAAAAGACATCACCTATTTCCTTGGGACGTAAATGCTGCAACATGAAAATCACATTCTCTCTAGCCTTCCTAGCCAACTCCCCCCTTAACTGAGATGCACCTGACCATACCTAAGAACAGCGTCAGTAAGTATTCATAAAAAATTAGTGAACTTACATATGCCAATGCCCTGCCTTTGAGTGTATCATCTTCACTAATGCGATCAAACATAACCTTCATTGGGGAGCCTGATTCTTTACCAGCCTCCTTGATACAGTTCCAGGCAAAGGCGTCCTGGACATCTACAGAAGGACCAGGAAAGGCGTTCTCCAGGGCAATTTTTACTCTCAGCAGTTGATGAGCAAGATCCACCAAAGGTCCGCATCCATCTTTTTTTAAAGATGCAAGGGTAGTAGGTGGTCTGACTTCACCTTTATTGGCCCCCCTTCTGCGACGCCTGACAGCCATTTCATCTTGCGACTCATCCTTGACTTCTATTAGCTAGATGTAATATTAGTTAGCTATGAAGTCAATTAAGTATAGCAGACGTACACCATTGCCTCTCTTCTTAACCACAGACTGCTCTCCAGCTACGTCTGTCTCTATTGCTGAATCTGCCTCTGGGTGACGCGAATGATCTGAATCTAAAACACATGATTGTTCAAATATACTAGCTGATATGTCAATGATAACTTACCTTCACTGGCTATGGGCGTATTCTTTTTCTTAGGGTCCAAGTGAGGCAAAATATCATCAGGATTGGCATCGTCTTCTACTTCTTCATCTGTGTCCATAGGTTTTGCCTTCTTGCTCACTATATCATGGGTGATGTTATCATACACACAAAATCTTGTTGATTACGCACCTTTTTTCCTCTTGTTATGCTCCGTAATCTCATGCTCAGTATTACTCTCTTCTTCATCTAGCATGGCGTCAACATTCTTCCTCAAACCTAATTCAATGCTCTATTAGTTAGCATTTGAATATCATTACATTAGTGAAAAGCATCACTAACCTTTGCGACGATTGAGTTCAGCTTCCTTCTTTTTTTGAGCTTGAAACTTCAGGAATTCGTCATACTGGTCATCAGTTATAACTTTGCTTGCTTTTGTCTTGCCTTTATTACTAGCAGGAGGAGCTGAGGAAGTAGGGGAAGGCGGTCTTTTGCCTTTGCCTTTCACTCGCATAGTGATGATAGGGTAGTAGTGAGAAAAGTGGTTCGTGTAAAAATGTAACCTGCTTATATGAGACCATGCATGTAACGTAACAAAAGGTCTACAGAATCTGGTGCATTGCAATTCTAGTGTAAGTTATACAAAAGAATGCATAGTATTGTTGTCTACCCATCCATTTTGATTCCTAATCCATGATGCAAACTCCTTGTCAGTCTGGAAAACCAAGGACGCCCTCCCCCCCCTGTAGTCTAGGTTGAAATGGGTTACCTCACTAGATCTGAAGATAGCTATGTCACCATTGCGCAACTCCAGAACTAGCCCATTCTCCAACAAGCACAAGGCCCCCCCCTCAAAGTGTCCAATAGGTATCACCAAACATAGATGACGATCACCGCTGTCTCTATGAGCTTTGGTGCGAACATTGATGTTGATCACTAGAGAAATGAAAGGAACAACGGGGGGAAGAGCGTTGCCAGGCAAAACTGAGGCGACCTCCATCAGCATTTTGAACTCTTCTTGTAGGTAATTCTCCATCTACCATTGAAACAATTTAGCGCTTGGATGCTACGCAGATTTCACCGAACTTACCAACTGTCTTACCCACTCAAATAACTCCCCGTACACCTTTGAGATTGTTCCGTATACGAGTCTGTGCTGTTGTAAGTCCTGGGATATGTAGGGAATAACTTGACCATGGTTTGTGCGCATTCCTTCCTTCTCTAGCAGCCAAGGTTGAACGTCTGTTGGAGCGTTAAGGCCCTAGTATTATATTAACAACAAAATACTGATAGTCCATGTGCGCTAGCTTACCGATGTACAATGGCGATTGTACCAAGAGAGGTGCATAGCCTGGAAAGGTCTACCTCCAGGCAAGCACGTATCCATATCTCCAAGCAAGTCTGCATTTCCGAGTGCAGCCAGTAAATTGACTTCCAGAGAAGCGCGTATGTGGGTGGGAAGTGCAGTAGATACAAATGCCATCAACGACCCATCCTTGTTTCGAAGATCTAGGTGGTGACTGACCAGAGTTCAGTGTGCAAGAGCAGTGTGGGAGAGCCAGATACGTACTTTGGCATGATCTGCATTGAGATTAGTAAGTATGCACCAGGTAATTTCTTGACGCCATTGCGATAGAAAGTTTTGAGCTGTTGACAAGATAAGTACGATTGGCATCGGAACTTGCACACCCACCTTGTTGCGTAAGTCTTCCAGGCTTTTCACCCTTTCACCTGCCTCTGCTCGTAACCTCTCCGCCGCACTCCAGCTAGTGTTCAGGACCTTGTCGCGAGGAGGCTTGAAGCACTTGTTCTTAGCTGATGATGGATCAAACGCTGTGTCAATGACAACATGCGCGATCTCGTCCTCCTCGATGTCGGATAATGGTGGACTATAAGGACGACCTACACCATAGAGCTCACTGTGATTGACAGTGTGTAAAGGCAGCCTTTGAAGATCAGTTGGCACAGGCGCAATGCAAGTGCGCCAAACATGTCCACTTCTACGGAGTGGTGTGAATGCGCTAAAATTTGACTGTGTTAGTCAATAGATCGCATATGAATATGCCATACGCACTTTTGGATAATGGCATCAAAAAACCGATCAGATGCTGAGAAGTCCGTGCAGTCGATATCCTTTGAGATGGAGAATCTCTCGATCAAAGCGCGAGAGAACATTGAGGTCATACTGAAGGGATGGGAGAGTCGCATGCGTGCGATGGTGGGTACAATGCGTTCAAGAATCAGCTTTCTTTGAGGAGAATCTATACATACATGGTTAGTAGTCTGATCGCCCAAGACAAAAGGTCCGCTTACCCCTTGGAGGTGATCGTAGCATGTCTGCTAGATGTAAGTGCGTGGTTCCAACCATGGATGCGATGGACACTCTAAGACCAAGGCCTGCGATGAGTACTAAAGCATATATGGAGCCACCACATGCGATGGCAATGAACTTGCTACCAGTAGCATGCCACTCCAAAAAAGTGCGATAAGTGACCTTCGTCTCTGAAGGGCGGTCTTTGACTTCATTCTCATAAATCCCTTTCAGGTGTAAGCCTGTCTTGAGGCGGATGCTTTCAAAATGTGTCATTTAATCGAGCTAAGTGAAGATTCTAGATGGCGCACCTCTGACACTTACAAACAAGCGTCATGAAATTAATCATGATCATGAAATTGATACGAATGTCCTTGCCCATCATTCCTCTACACCTCACCACCAGTGATAACAAAGATTCATCATCCACAGATGGGACTTGCACAAAATTCCCAATATCTTGCAGCCATCGAAGTGGATCGTGAATAGAAGAGAGACAATGTGCGGCTGCGAGCTCAGCAATGATTGCGGTAGCCTGATCGCTGCAAGAAATCCTAGGATCGTCTAAGGGACGTCGACGCCATGCACCTCGTCGTTGAGTTTGAGGACCACTGACGGCTTGCTCTGAGTCACCAGCATCATGCTCATGCACTTCCCCCACTTCCTCCGCCCCCATCTGATCCGCCCCCACTTCCTCTCCATCTGCCTCCCATTCCTCTTCTTCCTCTCTGGGGCGCAAAACATCCTTCATAGCTAGAGCTCGAGCGGCAGCTCAAGCTCTACGTATTCGTAACCGACGTGCACCGCGGTTACAATCGTCGGGATTAGCATTAGCAACACATGGTAGATTGGGGTCAAACCCAGGCCCAGGGGGCTCCCCTCCTGCAGCAAGAGTACTTTGATGGATGTCGGTGGTGAGAC